GTAATGAGAGTAATGAGAGTAATGAGAGTAATGAGAGTAATGAGAGTAATGAGAATAATGAGAGTAATGAGAGTAATGAGTAATGAGTTAAGTCTATCTAACTATACTTATTCTAATGAAGATATGTTTCATCTATTCGTTTGAATCATTTCATGGCCAGTGCCTTGAAGTTGCTTGCGTGAGTGAAGAGACCGCTGTCAACAAGTACAACAAAGCAGCGTTGATACAAGCCAAATCAGCTGCCATTGGAATAACATCAGAAGAAGATCGAGAAATCGAAGAAATTTTCGAGGATGTTAAGATAATCTGGGCACAACAGGAGCAGAACGATAGCATGCGCTGCATCAATAGGGTGAGCATCAGGATGATCTATCACTATTTAAGTTCCTCCCGCCAAAAGTTCCCAGATCCAAGGTAACGAGTTGCGATAAACAAATCAAAGAATACTCATGGCCAACTCGTGCACAAAATACTTAAACTATAGATGAAACATGGTTGTGAACTTGTAATTACCGGTCTTGCAGCAATGTAAGGTTGCTCCTACCTCCATAGACAATCTTCCAGAAAAACAAAATTATCCATTTCACTCTTCAGAATATTTAAATGTTACGAAAAGTATCCCGCGTTTATCGAATTTCTGTTTTCAAAATCACCTCAAATTTAGACGCTGTGATCCAAATCCTTCTTCACCTGCACAAGTCAAATTCTCCTATTTTCTATTTTTATGTCACGTTTCGCCTCACAGGTGCTAATTACCGTGTGTGACTCATTTGCATATCCCGGAAAAAAAAAACTTGTTTCACAAGTTAAAAAATAGCTTTAAAATACTGGGACGACATGACCCAACGAAAATCTTCGATTCAATTTATTTTATAATCTCCTATTTGCACTTCACCCAACTTATCGATCTCGTTTCGCAGCCAAGTACAGACACGTTCGAGTCGTATTCCACGTTCATGTGCAGGCCTAAATTGCCCAGTTCCAGGATCTATATATAGCTAGATTCCTAAAAATACGCACTTGTTGGATCGTTAACAAGGGTTTTTTTCCATTTTTACCATTCGTTTACAGAAAGGATGTTTCCGCTGTAAATATTGCTAAAGCAGACCGTATAATCAAGGAAGTTGAAAACAGGTTGCTTCCTCAGTGTGAAAAAAGATTCGAGGCAAATTTCCTTATTGCAAAGGCAGATTCCTCCATTCGCAAAGCGCTGCAACGGGATACAGAATTTACAGAACAAGAAAGAGTTGCATACTTAAGAGAAGGTAAACTGTTTGCCTTACGTTGTACGACAGGTCCAACAAATAGATAGATGAATCATGACATACCCATGCATGGCGTTGCTTCACATGAAATCAAATCACATCATGTGCAGGAAATATCAAATGGCTGCACTTGGATACGAAGTGTCATTGATACATCGATTTCATTGGAGACAGTACGAATACTTGGCATACTCGACATACTCGTTTCCCACGCACGGCCATTTATAAGCTTTTGAGTGGTCCACTATGAAATATCTTATGGGAGGCAAGTGGGATATCGTACTGTATACACAGCAAAGTTTTGCATGACTATGCCGCGCCACATACACGTATTATATGACCTCTTGGTAGAAATCATTATGAATCCCTTTGAAGTAGTTTTTTTCTTTCTACGTTTCTTTAGACGTATTTCTCTCCTTTCCTTCATGTTGCAAATTGCTAAAAATGCACTTTATATATGAAGTTATTCTCATCCATGACCTGAATAAAACTTGAAAAGGTGCATTGTAACGGAAGGTTGGGTGTGAAATTATATACATAATATATGTGTGATATTATGAATTACTATATTTCCATGGACTTTATTTCCTATAGCAAGGTTAAAGGCGTTGAATGTCATCAAAAGAGTGAACATGATAATTCTAATCTTACTCTTCCTTAATCGATAGCTGAGAACGTTCTCAATCAAGCAGAACAAATATCCAGAGATCTTAAAATGCAAAACGAAATACAGGGAATAAATGACAGAAGGCATAACATCCAAATTCTTCTTCACCGAGGCTTCTGGCTCCAACCAAGACCGGGCCAAGTGCAGCCGAAACGAAGGCCTGAAGAGAGGAACACAGATGATATTGATGATCTACTGGATAATTTGTTTCTAGAAGAGGGAGGAGGCAACAGACGATGAGGAAATCGATCCGCTGGGTAAAAGATGAAAAATAAAAAGAAGGATATTTTGAAGTTTGAATCATTGCTGTTTACTATGCAGTTGTATGCAGCCATGATGCATGAATAGTGACTTCTTCTAAGTTGGTTGTGGAATTCTGGATTAGAAAAAATTTTCTAAAGCTGCTATAGAATAATCTTGATTAGAAACCAGGCAACCTCTTCCACCTACCCACTGGAAGAGATGAGATACTGGATAGATACAAGAAAATGGCCGTAGCCTCTAGGTTTGAGTTAAAGCTCCACAGAAGAGTTCTTCTTGTAATTTATTGCACAAATATCCGAAAAGGGACATCCATCGGTCTTAGTATTTACTTATCAGGGGCTACGTCGTGTTAAACAGCCAAATAAATGCGTAGTATGTATCAGCAATGAAAAATCGCCAAGAGCTTGTGAAGTAAATAATATGAGTTTTCTAAAACTCGCTTAAGGTTAAGTTAAAGCCTGCCTGTTCTTGGAAAAAAAGGCGATATTTATTATTCTTAGCTCATTTCTGAAAAAAAGTCTCATAACACCACAATGCGGTTGCAATGTATTAATATATTTCTTGTTGTTATAGATAATATTTGTAAAAGAAGTTTCTGAAATGTTTGGTCGTGCTGACTTCATACCATCGAGCTTTCTGGAACATTTTATTAGGCCACGCAATTATAGGGTAACACTACCAAAATATTTATATTAAGCTTCCAGATTGTTCTAAATTTCTTTGTAAAGCTATACCGAGAAAGGGTTATTAAAAAAGATTGCTCATTTCAAGAAACTTTGGAGACAACTGTGAGTTGGTGTCAATGGTGAGCTAAGATACAATTTGAAGCGGGCTGAAGGAAAACACCAGTAAAACATTACGGTAAAGTTGATGACTTAAACGACTGTGATAACTAAAAAAATATTTTATTAAGCGTTTTCGTTGATGTTTTGGAGTGATACTTTTGAAAGAGGTAATAACTCATGACCCTTTCCCCTCCTTGATTTGATTAACAGTTCTCCTCACGGTCTGCCGTAAATTTATTATAGTTGCATGTCAATAATTTGGTGCAAAATTAAAGAAAATTTGTCATTTGATAATTGTTGCCATAGTTGGGAGAAATTTCTTGTAGGTTACTCCTGAGAGAGGGGCGATAAAAGGAGCTGAGTGGTGCATATATAATATAAGAGTTGGAATGAAAATACTTACAACCGCTCTTAGGAATAAAAAAAACAGTAAAATTCTGCCATAAAAAAAATACTTCACCTTACTTCCACAGTGCATTGCTTTTTATCTGACCGCTTACTTTGGTGCAACGAGGCCATTTTAGCGAGTTATCCCTTTCTCTTGGGAGTACGCACAGCCTAGAACTGAGTAATTCGCTAAAATGGCTTCTTTTCAACATTGTAAGCGGTCAGACAACAAGCAATGCACTATGGAAATAGGTGACGTATTTTTATTTAGAATATGACTGTATTTTTTCATTCCTATTCCCAAACCAACTCTTATGTTTTTGCCATGACTCTTACTACGCAAGATGATCATCTCACAACTAAAGCTTGGGCTGCCTGTGATTAGAGTAAATTAGGTGCCCTGATCTTTTAATGTACCTTCCAAGATCAAATAAGTCCTACAAAATATTTCATCAGACAAAAAAAAAGGGCCTGAATGTAAACTTTTCTTTCGCGCTTTATTTATGAGCTGGTTCAAGGAAACAAGCCTTGCTTTGTAATGGTGATCTTTCTAAATAAAACTAAACTCTGTAAATCAGGTCTTCCTGAGGTTTTTCTATCAAATTTAAGACGATAAATCTGCTCGAGCTTGTTTCTTATGTTGTTTGTTTTATTTTCAAATCAAAGTAAGATGAAGTGATATGGGATTCTGCGCCAATGATTTCAAAACCATTTTCTCTCTACAGTAGAAAAGAACCATGTTTAATTAGCACTGGTGACGCATTATAGATATTATGGCATTTCTTGAAAGTTAAGCCAAACAAAACGAAAACTTAAATGATTCATGAAGTTATCATCCGTCGAAGTTTCTGTCATGCACAAACTATTTAATTCATTTTTAAAGTTCTCTCTCACAGCGTAGTTTGCTTTATTGAAGGGTTTTTTAGCTCTATTTCAATTTATTTCCACGTTACCGCCATATTATATGTTGTAAAGAAAAATAAGAATGACACTGTACAATTGAGTTTTAATTTTTATTCGCTCATATGGACCTTTTCATACTCCTGAAAGGAGAGATGTTACGTTATTTATGAGAAAAACTGCTTCTTTCCATCAACATCTAGAATCCCTTTTTAACATCCTACGCGCTTAGCCACGTCACACAACCGACGTTTCATGATGATATTTTCATCAGCGTCCTATGGAAAGAAAACGAAATAAAGAAAATTGACAGAAATAAAATAAATGCGAAAAACAGGTTATTCAGGAATTCTAAAATTATAACTATTATAAATTTTCCATTTCCGTGCATCAAAGTTTCAGATACCTCACAGGTGAGATTTTTTCTAACTTATAAACTGTTTTGGAATCTTTATGTTACGAACTTGCCACAAGCAAGCACTCAAATCAAATGGGAGTAGGTGTGACGTCAAAATTGTCATGGACGGTGGAACCAAATAAAAATAAAATTGGTTTAATTTCTGAGTTTCGAAAGACTTTTACTTCATTTCTCCAATAGTTTTCACGGTCTTTCGTGATTTTTAGACCGAATCTTTTGTTAAGAAAAATTTTATCGTGCGGTCAGCTATGCCAAATCACATTCATTATGTAAGAGGTAAAAAAGGAAAACAAAACTCATAGCGTTGGAGGCACTTACCTGAAAGTCACTCAAATCCTCGAAGGCTCTTTTACCAGGTATACCACTATTTCCTCCGTTTGCAAAGGCATCAGACTCGGTTGGAAATAACACCAGAAGGGAGAGCAAACCGATCAGACATGGAAACAATTTGGCTGCCATTCTTGCACTTTCTAGTCAACGATAGCTTGTCTTGGTTGCCGACGTAAAATACTCTGGGCTCCTTGTTTGTGGTATTTATAAGCTGGATTTACCATTAATTATTTAAACGAAATAAAAGAACATTCATAATTTTTGGTTGGTTATTAAACGGCCATCTTTAAGAAAAAAGGAGAAAAAAATGACAGGTCAGAAACAAAGAAATAGAAATGTTCATGGAAGAAAAATGATTTCATTGAGGAAATAATAAAGATTGGCACCATGTTTGAATGCTTATTAAAAGTAAATCGTAAAAAACATAATAATTAGTATCGTCAAGGCATTAATTAATAAAATATTACTCTGTGCGAAATTATCATGATCTAAATAAGAAAAAAATTAGTAAGATTTTGTAGCACTGCGACATTCAACTGTCCTTCACTTAAGATATCGATGTTTTAGGATCACCATGCCTTTTTAGTTTCATTTTGATATCCTTTGTTAAAAGAAAGTTAATAAAAAAAAGCATACCTTTATAATGATATAATGATAAGTAATGGATGAAAACATATTTGTTTCTTGTTTATCAATAATTGACCACATGCATGCTGCTCCTTTGTGTCATTACGTTCTGACTCGTGTTCTGATCCATAAAATACTATTTACAGCTGAAACTGCATTCCTCACTGATTTTTGTAAGTTAAAAAGTTAAACTGGTTCTTAAATACCTCTAGCGATTCCGCCCCCCAAAAAGATTATTGACTTGCTTTTGGATTACCAATCCAAATGAAAGAGATGTTGGTGAAATTAGTTTCCCTCACTGCCATATAAATATTATGTGGATATTGAAACTATGGGTGAAAATAAATTTTATTGAGTTGAACACGGTTGCTTACATGCCTTCTTAAGTAAAAAGATCCCGGGTAACAATTGCGCACAAGCTGGAGCAAGGAAGGGAGGAAGGGGTGGGTAACTTCTCTTTTCACCGAATAGAGTACAGCAGGAAAGACAAGAGCAATATTTTTAGTCATTCAAGATTCTCACAGGCTCCTCTATCCGTACGTCTGCAAAATTGCATCAGAAACACCATGTATTAATTGATATGAGTCACGCATTGCCTCACGCATCCCAGTCTGCAGGGTAATTCATGATGGCATTAATTGCTTTTTTTATTTCGTACACATTACTTCCGAGCATCACATTCCATTGAATGAGCTACGAAGCTGCTTACAACCTTTAACAAGACCAATCCGGGAAGTTTGAAGGAAGCCGAAAAGTTCGATTCCAATTTTTTATTTTTCATTTTTTAAATGATATGCAAAGTACACGATTCAAAAAGAATGAAGTTATAATTACAAGCTTATGAATAATTAGACGATGTAATCATTACTTTAAATAAACGTATCGTATTCACATACACACAAGGTTTTATTATTATTTGATTCAGTGTTTTCTTGCAACATTAATTTTTGTAAAGAGAAGTTTAAAATATATGGTTTAACTAAATAACAAAACATTACTTACAATAAAATAAATTACAGCACATTTTTACAATAGACAACACTACGAGGTTCATACAATGATATTTGGAAAACTTAATGTTAAAGAAGAATCACCTGCTCGAATTGCGAAAATGCTAATATCATGATATTTCAACATTTACGGTCACAAAATGGAGATCAAATTTTTACGAAAAAATTGGTCTGAAATGCTTTTAAATGGAAATAAAAAGAAACTCTCGCCGGTCATTCAAGCTTCTAAATCTTTGTTTTTGTTTTTTCGTTTTTTTTCCAAAAACAAGTGTATCACATCATATCAGGGGTGTCCATCGGGGGCGACAATGACTGTTTCGTTTAGGTTTGGTCTGATTGATTTCTGACTGACCATTTCATGAAACTGCTTGCAGAATATTTCCAGCTTTTGCTAGACTAGCGGCACATTTTTGGCAGATAGAGGTGTCATCAGGGGCAAGGAGAGGCCAAGAAAAACTTACTCCAATATCTGTTGCATTGACTGACCAGGTGATAGGTTTATTTATCTCTGCTCTTTGTGTAGTGCATATAACAATGCACCGACTGACGAAAGCCCAACACGGATCTTTCGACAGATGTGTTGATCGTCTACCAGGATGTCCAGTCTCACCCTGTGTATCTGGTAGAGGTTCAGAGACAGATATTGTTTTTAGTTCTGTCAGGATGCTCAGTTTCATCCTCCACGCCCTCCAAGGGGCGGGCTTGCCGGTTGAGTTGCCGACTTTCCGATCCATGAGACAGGTAATACCGGTTGTCATGGTTACCCAGGAGCAAGGAAACCAATGCCTAACTTGACACACGAAAAAAGGGATTTTAATGAATATGCTCTGACCTATGTCTTTGTCCATATCGTAAGTTGAATTTACAATCTGACGCTCTTTGTGCCACTGTCACCCGTGCTCTAGAGTTAGGAAAGGCAAAATTTAATTGTATATAAAGACTCAGTCGTTTAGTAGAAGTAGTTACTGTTGTCGGGAGTGACCGACTGCTTGGAAAGCTATACTTACGAAAGATTGCTCATATCGAGAAACTCTTGAGAGTAAAGAAACCCTAGAAATGAATCATTCGCTAAAATGGCTTCTTTTCAACATAGTAAGCGGTCAGACAACAAGCAATGCACTGTGGAAATAGGTGACGTATTTTTATTTAGAGTTTGACTGTATTTAATTATTATCCCCATACCAACTCATGTTTTCGCCATGACTCTTATTACGCACGATGATCATCTCACAGCTAGAGCTTAGGCTGCCTGTGATTGGAGTAAATTAGGTGCCCTGATATTTTAATGTACATTCCAAGATCAAATAAGTCCTAAAAAAGATTTCGTCAGACAAAAAGAAAGCCTAGATATCAGTTTTCTTTTGTTGCGAAGTAAGAAAAGATGTATTTTTGCAGAAGGCGCTTTATTTATGAGACGATTTTGCTCGAGCTTGTTTCTCATGTTTTTTATTTTATTTTCAAACTAAAATAAGTGTAGTGGTCTGGGATTCTACGCCAATGATTACGAAACCATTCTCTTTCTTCAACAGACAATAACCGTGTTTTAGCTGGCACTGGTGGCGCATTATAGATATTATGGCATTTCTTGAAAGTTAAGCCAAACAAAAAGAAAACTTAAATGATTCATGAAGTTATCATCCATCAAAGTTTCTTCCATGCACAAACTATTTAATTCCTTTTAACCTTCTCTCTCACAGAGTAGTTTGCTGTATATAGGGTATTTTAGCTCTATTTGTTATATTTCCACGTACCGCCATATTATATGTTGTAAAGAAACAAAAGAATGACGCTGTACAATTGAGTTTTAATTTTTATTCGCTCATATGGACCTTTTCATATTCCTCGGAGGAGAGATGTTACGTTATTTACGAGAAAAACTGCTTCTTTTCATCAACATCTAGAATCACATTTTAACATCCCACGCGCTTAGCCATGTCACACAATCGGCGTTTCATGATGATATTTTCATCAGCCTCCTATAAAAAGAAAAAAGAAATGAAGAAAATTAACAGAATTTTAAAAACATCCGAAAAACAGATTCTGAAATTATAAATACAAACACAAAAGAAAACGTCGACAAATTGCCTTCGAATATTCAATATTCTTCTTTTGATGAACCAAATCTCTTGCTTTTCTATTTTTGCATATCAAAGTTTCAGATACCTCACAGGTGAGATTTTTTCTAACTTATTAACCGTTTTGGAATCTTCATGTTACGAACTTGCAGTAAGCACAAGTGTGACGTCAGAATTATCATGAACCAAATGAAAATAAAGTTAGTTTAATTTCTGAGTTCCAAAGACATCTGAACAAGAGAAAAATACTTTTCTTTCATTTCCCCAATAGTTTATTGATTAACATTTTGTCGCACGTACCCAGTTATGCCAAATCACATTCATAATGTAAGAGGTAAAAAGGGAAAACAAAACTCATAGCGTTGGAGGCACTTACCTGAAAGTCACTCATCATCTTGAAGGCTCTTTTACCACCGCTAAGTGCTCCGTTTCCAAAGGCATCAGACTCGGTTGAAAATAACACCAGAAGGGAGAGCAAACCGATCAGACATAGAAACAATTTGGCTGCCATTCTTGCACTGGGCACTTTCTGGTTAACGATAACTTATCTTGGTTGCCAATGTAGAATGCTCTGTGCTTCTTTTTTGTGGTGTTTTATAAGCTGGATTTGCCATGAATTATTTAAACGAAATAAAAGATCATTCACAATTTTCGGTTGGTTATTAAACGGCCATCTTTAAGAAAAAAGGAGAAAAAAATGACAGGTCAGAAACAAAGAAATAGAAATGGTCATGGAAGAAAAATTGACTTTATTGTGAAAGTAATAAAGATTAGCACACTATGTTTGAATGGTTATAAACATTATAATTAGTATCGCTGAGACATTAATTAATAAAATATTACTCTGTGCGGAATTATCATGATCTAAATAAGAAAAAAAATTAGTAAGATTTTGTAACACTGCGTCATTCAACTGTCCTTCATTTAAGATATCGATGCTTTTTAAGGATAACTAAACCTTTCTCAGTTTCATTTTGATATTCTTTGTTAAAAAAGAAAGTTACTTAAAAAGCATACCTTTATAATGATAAGTAATAGATAAAAACATGTCTGGTACTTGTTTACCTATAATTGTCATATCCTGCTCCTTTGTGTCGTTACGCTCTGACTCATGTTTTGATCCATAAAATACTATTTACTGCCGAGACTACATTCCTTGCTGATTGTTGCTTGTTTTATTTATATTCCAGAGCAGCTTGTTACTGCCACTAAAAGTTTAAAATTCAAAATGGGTCTTAAATACTTCTTTTAGCGATTCCCCCCTCCCCCCTCCCCCCTTTCCCCCCCCCTCCCCGATGACAATAGACTTGCTTTTTGATCACCAATCTAAATGAAAGAGATGTTGATGACATTTGTTTCCTTCATTGACCTACATACAGTATGTGGATATTAAAATTATGGATGAAAAGAAATTGTATTGAGTTGAACATACCTTCCAAAGTAAAAAGATCCCAGATAACAATTGTGCACAAGCTGGAGCAGTGGAGGGAAGAAGGGGTGGGTAACTTTTCTTTTCATCAAGTAGAGTCTAGCAGGAAAGAAAAGGGCAATATTTCAGTCATTCAAGATTCCCACAGGCTTCTCTTTCTATGAGTCCGTAAAAGTGCACCAGAAACAGCATGAATCGATTAACGCGCGTTGTTCAGCTATAAACCTTGTGACCCTAAACAGCAGAAGTGGAACAAAATAGATTGTAGTAATAAGTTGCAAGAAAAAAGCTCGGACATAAAGCTTTGAGTTGCAGTAATGCTTTTTTGTGTTCGAACCGTGCTAAGGAGAAGCAAAGATGCAATAATCTGCAAGAATCAATAGTTTCATCCATAAAAAATAATAGAAGCGATCCCCTCGCTAAGATTTTAACGCCCAAAACGATCAGGGTTGGAGCGCATCACAGCGGTAGGACACATATCATGCAGGTGTCTTATTGAGGTGAGTTAACGAAAAGAAGCGCACACTCGCCCACCCCTACCCCTCTCCTAATTTTTTAACTGTCGTTCACCATCTTTGTACAAATTTATTTCTCTCCCCGGTCTCCACTGCCATAATTTTCGCTAAGAAAATACTGAGCACTCGCTCGCCAAAATAACGGCTGCTGTGCCGGCAAAGCAATGTCTGAACGTGTTAACAACTAATTTACCAGACATGCATGGATGCACACAATAAACTAACTCGAAAACAAAGATTATGATCGGTAAACAAACTATAAACGGCGAAGCGGGCGGGGAAGGGTTTCGCCCTCCGTCCTCGATCCCTTTCCCCTCGCATTTCAGGGAGGAAGGGAAAACATTCAGTCTTGTAGCCCAGTTAGTTAGCTAATTAGTTAGCAGTAACTCCGCCACCCCGGCGGAGATGAGCCAGGGTGGCGGGGATGAACCTTTACCAATCGAGAGTTTTATAAATCTTGTAATCAAAGACTAAAAGCTGTTAGCAGTTGAAAGTCCACGGAGTTATTAACAATCAAGACAACAGAATTGAAAATTTTTGCCAAAATAAACTGCTTTTTTTTTACGATGAAATTAAAGATAAAACTTACTGAATGATGTTTTTGCTAACTGCTGTTTTATCTAGTTTAAGACAAGACGTCTTACGAGTTTATTCTTTACGGGTTAAATGCCGTTGCTGTCTTTCTAATTCCTTTCTGGTTCTGCGATTCAAGATGTTTATAATATTCCGGTCGGAGACACAGTGTAAGGAACAATTTACATGTTAGAAGCCTCCTGAACACACCCAATCGAATCTGTGTTTTCTACGACAGGATTCTTTCAGCGTTTGTCTCTTGTAACCAAGGTGAAGGACTGCAAAGGGTATATTTCTATCAAACTTCAACCTTCTGGAAGAATCAAGAGTTGAAGGTTTGATAAGGACATACAGCGATCGTTTCAACATGAATATTGTGAATATTATGGGGAAAAATGCTCATTAAGTGTATCATAAAATAGATGCATTGACAGCACCTTTATCAATTAGTGGAAATTAAAGTAATACATCTGTTTAAACTTCCTTTTCTGTAAAAAATATAAATTAAAAAAATTAAAATATGAGAAAAAACAGCTTGTTTCACCTTGGGCAAATAATTACGAAAGCATCTCAATGAAGAATTGAAAAGTCAACATCAGATGAACCTGTGATATGTAGAGATGATTAAAAGATGTAAAAAAAATGTCTTAGTTTTAGCTATTTCAAAGCTATAATAGTTTAGACATTTTGACAGTCACAATGTTTATGGGCACTGAAGTAGATAAACGAAACGCTATCTCATTTAGAAACGGTGGAACTTTTTCTTGTTTTTCCGCATTGAGCTCTTTGCACACTGACTGCGTGGAAGAGTTTTTTTCCTTCTTTCACGCAGAGGGTTTATTTGAGAATTATGCGAAAAGAGAGTAAAATGCAAGCCAATCAATAGTTACATTAAGTCATCTTAACTGCTTTTGGGGCTTTCTCGTTTTAGGGCAGGTGCATGTAATGAAAAAATAATTTCCATTCAAATTTTATGGTACGATGATCAACAGATCCAGTAATTTTTTGATAGGATTTTTGTTTTGGTAGAGGATTTAGAGCTCATCCTTTCGTTTAACTTAAAAACACCATTGCTTGTGTAAAGCTCCGATCAACAGGTGCTTGATGTAGTCTACATTTTATGCATGCACTCAGGGTTGTTTAAAGAAAATGTTCCATTAACGATTACATCAATAACGATAATAATCAAAAATCAAACGGGAGGTTTTAGCATTTACTTTCCTTTAATTCTTAATTCTCACACGACAACGTGTATTTTTCATCAGTAATAATTTTTCATAACTTTATATTGTTTCTGTGCCATAACAACATTAAAAACCCTAATCGATGGATACGTGTCTGATTCAGCTGCTTCTGTAATTCTGGTTCAGCAACCCATTCTTCTTGCCACTTCACACACACGGCGTTTCATGAGGACATTTTCGGCGTCGTCCTGTGGAGAGAAAGGGAGAGAAAGGAAGAGTAAATGATTGTAGCAAAGTTTATATGACACCACTAGTATGCCAAAGATGATTCCTTTGTTATTCCCCTTCTTGAAGTTAGTGATATTTTGGCGAGTTGTTTGATCGTTTGACCAATTCATCGTCTTGGTAATTTTAAACGAATAATGAATCAGGAAATTTATGCATTTTGGTAAACTGTTGTCACTCTTTTTGTTTTTCTTTCTACTCTCTTTGACACATTTTTCGTAAATTTGATGAACGTGATGGGCTTGCTGCAAAAACTAAGTAGTTAGGTATTGTGAATAATCCAAATTAAAAACCAATAGTTCGTACTTACCTTCTTTTCCTTTTGTTCCAGGAAGCCTTTTTTACCTGGAGAACCGTGCTTTGCCCCATTTGCAAAGGCGTCAGATTCAGGTGAAGATAACACCATCAGGAAAAGAACAAAAGACAGACAAAAATAGAATTTGACTGCCATTCTATCAGTTGACAATTTCTGTTCAGAGAATTGCCTTAACTTCTGCCTTAGAAAGTTTTAGAGTCTTTTATTAGCTGTCTTTGATAGGCTTTAATTTGTGTCGAATTATTTAGAGAAAATTATCAAAACTATCAGTATCTGATTGGTTCAAGTGATTTTAATAACAGCAGGACGGAGATGCGATAAAGAAAGAAATTACCACGCGAAATAGGAATTTTCAGGATAATTTTACTTTTATTAAAGGGATTGCGAACAATAACAGACTATGTATAAATGTTCATTTGATGTGAATATTAAATGGCAAATTAACTAGTCACGGTGAGGGAAAATATTGGATATTAACTATCTGAAATTACAGTGTAATGAAACTTTATGAACTCATCACAGGTCTTATGAAGATGACTCGACAAATATGACATCGTCGGTTTATTTTACCCCTTGTTTTGGAGACAATTAGACTGAAAAATGAAAGCTATCAGTTTGCTAAATTCTGATGGAAAGGTAACCAGTTGTGTTCATATAGCTGCCTTACAGGCGATTGATCGAAAAGGATCGATTTCCGGTCTTTTACTATTAATAATAACTTTTTTTTTCCTACATGCTGATTCTTTGGTTTTCGTTTTATTTGCCCACACTTCACAAATCATCCATCCTAAGGCTTAATGAAAGTTTAACGACAATCGACCATGCTCTGACATTGTTAAACTCACTGAAAAACACACCTTTTGTTTAATATACTTAAACCTACAGCCTAATTGGATTCGCTTACTAAGTTACATATATTTGAATGGCAATATAAACCTTCAAAGGGATTGTCTTTTAAATAGTTGTCGATGTTCGAGGTGTCAATCAATTGACCGCTTGGCTTTCCAGCGCCTGATTGCTATTACATTTGTAATTTAGGTTTAAAAGTTCAATTTTATAGATCTCAATTGATAGACTGCTGAAAAACCTTGAAACCTTGAATTCAAGTTCATCAATCATAGAATGAACACCGTCCTGTTTTCTCCAAAAGTTAGTATAAAGCCGTTGAAGGAGTTTCACCGACTTTTAGGGTCTGCAAATTAGGCCACGCTTTGAAAAATTCTCTTACAGCATATGAGTCATAACGAACAATACATGAGAAAAAACATTCATCAATCGGTCGATTGACGTACAGCTGTTCTTGCTACCACTCAGCCACACAGCGTGATTAAGTCTAATTGCTACATTATTATATACAGTCGACCTCCAGATCGTAGTGATAAAGTTTTAACCATGCTTACATGTGCAAATTAGCAATGAATACAAATATTAACAAAGCTTTATTGACAGACACGTGTGACAACCTTCTATTCAGTTGCAAGCGTGGCAAGAAAGTAAAGAAACGTTCACCGAAAAAAAATCGTCGATTTTTTGTTGGCTTATAAAGAGCTATAAGAGTGATGACACGGGCTCGATGTTTGAAAGTCTTTCAAATTAAACTTGACTTTGCTATCTTTTAGTTCTAAGTAATAAAATAGAGGCAGGGAAACTCTCCAAAGAGTACTGAGAGAAAGAAAAAACAATACGCACACACGCACACGTGTGTTTTACACGACCTGGCTCCGATCGTAGTTTTTGAATTAACTTTTTAGATATTCTTATTTTTCCTAAAAAAAAAATGCGATTTTATAAAACGAAGAGGGCTTAAGTGAAAGAAATAAATTTCTCCAGTAGTTGTATCTTCATTTACTCATTGAAGGCCAATGCTAAAATAAGTGAAAGCTCGTCAACTTCACTTTTTATGTCATGGTAAGAAATAACAGCTTAGCTTGCAAATATTAAATGAGAGCAGTGCAAGAAGACTTGTTTCCACCTCCAACTTCTTTTAAATTTTGAAATTTACAAATTCCGGGTCGGAAGTGAAACAAAATGAAAAGACGCAGGAGAGCGCAGACAGAGTTATGAATTACACCAAGAGATTGTGGACACTAATTTGTATGTTTCACAGTGTTCAACCTTTCTGAGCTTCTAGATTAAGTTATACACTTTTTCATCAGGAACACTCATGAGTTATTTTGAAATTTATTTCAGAATAAAAATCTATATACAGATTTACTCATAAATATATCCAGATAAATGCTCAATTCAGAGTTTCCCAAAGTTTGACCGGTTTTAGTCCGTCATCGACGGCCGTTTACCATCATTGTTCACACGCGGACACAGTTAGTGTGTCATTTGACTCAGTGGCGTACCTTTTTGCTCACTTAAACCGCATGCAATTTTATCCGACAACCCAGGTACTGATATCGGAGACTCAGAAGTCGCCACGTCTTTTCACTTACTTCCTGTTGTCCGTCGTGTCATTTTACTTTACCCGTACGCTCTCCTAATTATACTTTTTCTCGTGGAGAGTCACACAGCATTTCCAGACACATCAAAGCCGACCAAATGGAAGCAACGTCTAAGCCACCACGAACATGCCAAACTAGCATGAACATAAACTTAAGGATATTTGCCGTAGCAGTCAATCTTCAAGTTTTCATGTTATCAAAGGCGTCTTTCCTCGCGGCCCGGGCGATTTTCAAGTTTCGGGAGGTTCTTGCATGTTACTGCAATTGGTACCCACAATTAATATACCTTTGGTTAGATAACTATAATGCCTTCTCCCTGGGAGAACGATTGATTCAAAGGATGTAAAGATCCATGGGAAAAGGAAGTGTAACGACAAATAAACGCCTCGCTGATTTCAGAAAGAAGGATCAGTTTGAGTCTCAACAGTCAATAACAGTGTTTGCAGTAATCGCAATCACTAGACAATAAACATACGCAAGTATATTTATGTTATCTTTATTTAAACAACATCAATCACGTGGGGCTAGATCATTAGTTTTCGGTGTTTAATTTACACATCTCAACCTGTTTTTATGTCATCAATGGACAGTAAAACATTTTTGTTTCATTTAATTCATATGTTAAATTATTAAATTAACAGCTTTGACGAAACTTCGTTTATCATTCTGCATCACAAATTCCGGCTCAGCAACCCACGCGTTTTGCAGCGTCACACAAACGGCGCTTCATAAAGGCACTTTCAGTATCGTCCTGTAAATACGGAGTGAGAAAGTAAAAAGAAAAATGGAAAACATATCAAATGAGATGAACATGTTCAATAGTTAGAGAATTATATACACCTGCCAAAAATAGAGGTAAGAAAAAGACCCCGCTAACAGTAAATATATGACTCTGAACTAACTCGAAGAGCTACAAATATGACAAGGATATTTATTCGTGGTGTGAACTTTACTTTTCTCGGATAAAATAAACCTAGACAACTGACTTCATTTCATCAGGGCTTTTGAAACACCCCGGCATAACATGACTTTTCCCTTGTGTTAAATGAATAAAGGAAAGGGTTAACCCATACGAAACTTTGCAGTATACGCACATACGTACATGAAAGTTGATCTTCCGCGAACGTTCAACTTTGCGACCACAATGTCCTGGGGGAAGGCCCATACACGCTCCGTTTAGGGAGGCATGAGATCCAGGAGAAAACAACATTACAAGGAAAAGAAAACAAAGGAGACAGGAAAAAAATTTGACTGCCATTCTGTCCTCGGACACTTTTCGATCAGTAAGGATCTGTTTCGGGTTGCTGCTGTGGAATGCTTGTAAGCCGCTTGTTTTATATCTCAAATAGGCTGAAACGACTTTAAATTATTTAAGAAAAGTGACAGAAGTCTTTTATCAAGCGGTCTGCTAAGTAGAAAGCAATCAAACTGTCCGTGGAAATGAAAATAGTTGGCTTTACCCTTTTCATAAGGATTAATAAAGAGTGGCACACAATTGGTGCTCACTAATTAAATGTATGGATTTAATTGTAGCATTATTTACTGGTTATAAATTTAGGTATTAAGTCTTCGGGTATCAATTACGTCCTTTTAGTTTAAAAGATGTACCCATTTAAAGGCAAATATATAAAAAAAAAAAATTCATCATGATACTTAGTAAGCTCGATTGACTGCACACATGTCTTTGAAACCGTCAACCGATAGAAGATGTCACTTAAAATGTTCCATAGTTTAGTTTTTCACTATCTTTTCTTTTTTTTATTGATCTGTACTTTGGATCAGAAACGACAATTTCTTAACACTCGTTTATCAGATTTCAAATTCGAAGGACTATCATAAGTTTAATCATGAACCAACATGCCCTGATACTGTCAGTCAAACTAGGTAGGAAAGTTTAAAAGACCTTGCAAAAACTATTATTATTTTCTTTCCCTTGCTACGTATTTTTGAACTCTTACTTTTTGACTTTCATATTACTAATGTAACTTAAAGAAAATTTGATAGAAGTTGATGAGAATCGACTCCCACATGATCCATATGAGCGTCAACACTTTAGCAATTGAGCGTAGATATCATTTTCACGTGAACGTAAGATAATCCATTCTAACCAACTCTTAACCGCAAATCAGTGAGTTTTTAGTTTCTTTCTTGAGTAGTAAGAGTAAATAAACCAGGCCCTATCCTTAAAAAGAGTTACCATCCACCTACTACAGATACAACGTGTTTAAAAAAAAGCTGCTGACAGAGCCATCACAGTGAGATGGAAAAAAGGAGGAAAAAAATCAAAGAAAGTTTGGAGGAGTTTTCAGCTTGCCTAAGGTGAAATATCAAGCCATGGCTCAGATAGTTTCTTCAAAATTATTCCGCCTAGCGTATTTTAAAACGCTGCGTTTCAATGAGGACAGATGAAAATGAAGGCTATTGAAAACGATGACGAACAAATTAACAGATTTGATCTGTTCCGATCCTAAACGAAACATCGGTCCAAGATGGTGTATAACCTTATGATGTTTAAAAAAACTCGGACTGTCCATCTTGTTTTATCTTTGAGGATTTTTGTCTCTGCTCACGTTGCAGTGCAGTCACGTTACTGCGCCTGGCATTTTTGCAAACCTTTGCTCGCTTGTTCCGAAATTTCACTTTCAATTAACGAAAGAAAAGCTAGAAAGAAGTCCCGGAAAAGGTCGGACATAGTACGATTTGGCAGATGGCGTGACAGCTTTAGCTCAGTTCTATGCTCTATACTCTCATAGAGCACGCTCTTTCAACCAATGACAGTATATATCAATATATACCAATGTATACCAATGACAGTTATATCCGAGCTTTATTATAATGATAACTTAGTTCTGATCAAGCCACATCGCGCCACTCCCAACGTCAGACCTTCTAACAAATAAGAGCAAGTTGCATTTTGAGACCTTGTTAATCGTCCTGATAGCCGTCCGCATATTCCCTCGTAAAGCGAAAGCGAACCTATTGAGCGACACGGGACACGATTTTCTATCAGGAATACTAAAAGATAATTGGGAGTTTTCGCCAACACATTATTGATTTAGTTGATATCAACGACTTGGTCACCAAATTCGGGCTCGGTTCAATGGAACTCCAGCTGTATTTGTTGTCGCACCAGTAATAATCGTGCCACCTTGCAATGCTGCCGCATTTTGGAATAACATTTGTCTTACTCTGTTGTAACACTTGCTGTGCCTTGAAATGACACTTACCGCACTTTGTAATCCAAAAGCAGTCACACCGTTTTAACAAGAAACCATTATAAAGTGCGACAGCTTTTTTATGACCAATAGCGACGGGACCTGGTCTTACAAAGTGCAAAAATTTTATTATATTTTGCGACAGAACACTTTACCGGCTAGTGAAAATACCGAATGGGAATACTAAAAATTACAAAAAAGCTACCCAACAACATCTTGACTCGGATAACTGTAACTGTTGCCTAGAGACGGTGAGAGAAAGTGAAACGGTGAAACGCATTCTTAGCCTGTAGAGCAGACGTAATTTTGGCGAGCGAGTGCTCAGTAATTTCATAACGAATATTATGGCCGCCATTTTTTATTTTAATGGCAGCGGAAGGCTGTGGAGAGAAATAAATTTGTACCAAGGGGGCGGTCAACGATCAAAAGTAAGGGGAGGGATGGAGGTCGGGGAGTGAAATAACAATAAGACGCTTGCATTGCGGGCTAACGCATTTTGAAATATTTACCTCTAGCAATATGTTATTTTCGGGATTATGTGTCAGTAATTATAATATTTTCATAGCCGTTTTGTTTCTCATATCTTTTTCAAGCGCGGAATGAGGAGCGAGCCTTTGTGTCCACGTTCGGTAAATCCCCTGTGGCTCTAATTTCGTTCGTGCCCTGAGCATCCTATGCTCAGAACTAGGAGAGTCAAGTTCGCAAAGCTCTGCTAATGTTGAAGAAAGATATTTTTTCGTCTTTTCATGAGAGTGGATCAAAGGAAAAAAAATTAGAGCCTCCAAGACGAGAATCGAAACTAAGACCTCCGTATTTTACGCACTGAGCCACAAAGACTCTACAGAGAGCTAAGTTGCTACTGTGTTGATATATGGCAAGCGTTCCGCATACTGCGATAATGATAATGTAGTTTGCACCTTTAAAAACGGTAACCAAGGTGTCACTTTGAAACTAACAACAGATTATCACACATTCATGTCACTTCTTCAGAGAAAGATTGAATGAGTCTGAATATAATTTGACTCATATTGCAAAACTGAAAAGGTCAACATTGATTTTACCTGAACTTTCAACCGTGAAAGGGCTGAAAGAAATATATTTATATAAAAGAAATATAAATCGAAAACTGAGGAGTTTCTAAAAGCTTATCGAGATATTATAAATAGTATGCAATCTCTCGCCTAATTGAGCGAAGGAAAATTACAATGACAGCAAAAGGAGTTAACTGATGCTTTCTGAAGACATACTCCAAAAAAACGATAAAACGACAGTAAAAAATGATTATTTTCAATTTTTATCCGCATGGCATCTTGATTGTCGTATCAATAATTTTAAATAACCTAGAGAAGGTTGCACACAACTAAAAACTTTTTTTTCTAAATTTTTTAAAACTGTCAAGCCTCAGTCCGTAAATCTTTGATCAAAATGTCAATATTATGCATAATATTATTCAAGAAAACGACTTGAGACTATTAACACCATCAATACATGTTTAGTTGAACCAGTTTTAACCGTATAAAAATCAGCTGAAGAAAACTGAAAGATTAAATTTTGAATAGGCCTCAAGTAATCACGAATTTGTATTGTTATTGGGAAAAATCGAGAAACAAAAATTTAAGCAACTTCTATCAATATAACAATTTCAAACCGCGTTTCTCAGAACTGCTTTAAAACGTGTTATTATCTTTTGTGTCAATCTAGTATCACGGTTTTACACTCATTAGTGATCAGGTGAACTGCCTTATGCGGGAAAAAGCCATTTACCACTTTACTGACGCTAAGCACTTCCTGGCGACGTCGTAGAACAGCGAAAGCTTGAAATTAAAAAAAAAAAATGAGTACTAACTGTAGATAAACACCTCAACCGTCCGTTTAACCAACATATTTCTGAAAGATAACTCAAAGGTTTACTTTCGATGTTATTGTAAACAGGAACAAAATTCAATTTCCAACGTGAAATTTATACATTGCTCTCTGATCGTGCTCTCTGTGGAATAGAAAAAAAAACTGTTATAATAAAAAGTCATTTGGTTCTGAAGTATTTTGAAGGATCCCGATTTCATCGCTGATATCACGTTTGTTTTCTCTGTTATTTGGAATTTGTTAGGAATCGCTCATCATGACAACTGAAACAACCATAAGAAATAAGAAATTTGGCCATGAATCCAAGGTGCAAAACATTTTGTCATGACAGTTAGTGACTTTCACAGTCATTAGTAAGTGACGTGAAATGCCCCCTTGCGTGGGAAAGTGTGATTGATTTTCACTGACACAACACCTCAATTTTGGTTGAACTAATGGTGATGTAAGTAAATAAAATTCGAAAACCGAGTTTACATTTGTGATGCTCGGTCAATTGCTTAATAGGGGAAGTTGAAAGAGCAGTTTTTTTAAGTTTTCTGAAGATAGTAACCGCAGAGGTGTTCATTTACTATCTGATTTGGATTTTGCTTCGTTTCGGTGACGCTCGTAATTACGTCAAGAAAGTTAATCAGCTGCAGTTCAACAGCTGTTGGGTCAGGAGACATTTATTACCTTACTTTAAATAATAAGTCTGTCTTTTGTTTGTTTTATCAACTCTGCTGCGGCGAAAATTCGCTTCTAGCTGAGGAGAAAACATTAGGGCAAGACTTAAGAATTGCTTTTCTCCTTCATGATCGCTTAGAAGGTAAGTCACTTGGATATTAATCATAGAGCGTACATGTAAAAGTAAACTTGAATTTATTAAATACGTTAATGTCTTCTTCGATTTAAGAAGTGCTACGTTTTAATTAAAACCGGTTCATTCGAGTAGAAGCAGCTTTGAAACTAGCAATTTCCTTAGTTCCAATAGAAGAAACTAAACAACATATGTCTATCGATATTATTCTTGTTGATTTTGAATTTCTACACCGTTAAAGGCACATTAGAACTGCTCGAAAGAAAGATGAAGTACAGAAGTTTTATAGAATTGTCATCTTCTCTCCTGCTGTTATGTTTTACGTTTTGACGACAAATTATAAAGCGCGGAAAACAGCCTGCATTAATTCGTGTGGAATAAGTAACAGCTTTGTCCAGGCCAGTTCTTAATCCTTATTTGCCAGAGATACACTTTAGCATTCTGTTCGTGACCAAAAAATTAAATTCTGGGTAAACAGAGTTTTATTTTTAGGACAAAGTAAAGTCCTCCATTATTTTCTTCAGCGTTGCTTTTAATCAAAATATTTTTTCTTTTTTTTTATTGTCATTTTTTTTATTTTCTGTGTTTGTTCGTTTGCTTGCTAATTTATTATTCTCTCTCTCCCTTTTTTTTCCCCTTTTTACTGTTGTAATTTGTTTGGAGCTACGCCTTTTTGGCAAGGGAATTCACCTGGAGGGGTTTGACTTTTAATACTTTCCGTTATGTAAATCTATTTCTCTTACCTTTATTTCACCTCAGTTATAGATGAATAAAGACCAAACAGTGATATCGAACGGGCCTTTGCCTTCTCAAAAATTTGGAAAAGTGCTCTTCAAGTCTGCAAACACCAGTTTTGCTTTTTGCAAACCCGGTGCTTTTGGCTTTGCTTTTGCCACATTGATAACTTATCTTTGCTTCTGGAGAAAATCAAGTGCGTTTAAAATCTCGAGCACTGTCTGAATCAAAGTAAAATTTCCAATGGAACCATGATTAAAAACAAAATGAATTAAAGAATAAACATATTCCCCTTGGCGTTTGGGTTGAAATAAAAGGTATTTGAATTTATAATTATCATTAAAACGATTTTGCAGATGTTATTATATGATGTACCCTACAGATTTACAAAATGGCAGGCTTAAATTTTCACGTGTCAGATTTTATTTAAACTTCTTCATGTAAATGACATATTGCTTGCGCGTCTTTTCGAATAAATACGATCCTCTAGCCGATTTTTGCCTCTCTAATTCAAATGAAGTAATTGTTGGGTAACATCATTTCTCTACATTTTCTGAACTTCTTCTGAATTCCTTGTAACAGCCAAGCATCTTTGCAGTCAAACACAAGTCGGTTTTAGTCCCTGGTGCTCTTGCAATCTTGCTCTAGAAAATAGTTAAAGTAAAATAAAATATATCTTTTTCAAAGAAAAGAGCACTGGAAATTTCCTAAGACCCGATCTCTTCATTTTCGATATTTTGCAATAAATGCATACAGATTCATGTGGAAACAAAGAATAATGTTAGTACGGGTACAGAACAATACAATGAATTAATAAACAGTTACGTTTAATTTTTATAAACTTATAAAAATTAATTGCATAATTTGATAAATACTTAAGTTTCAGGGGACGGATTGAAAATTATGAAAGTTTGGAATCTTGCATGGTCTTAAGGAAATTAATGCAATGGTAAACCAAAGCATCTTTTTAGCCAGATGACCGAAATATGAATTAATCAAATAAGTGATTTCTATTTCCAATGTCATTGCCAAGCCGAGCTACCTCAATAAAGAATGTCTACAAATAATAGGAAGTAGGGAGCCCACCCGTTCTTAAGTCATTTCTGGAGCTACTGATAAGCTCTAGTTGAACAATGGTAGATTTTTTTCTCAATGTAAGATGCCTTTTGATACTTTTTTACTTCTCTTGTTAACATGCCTCAACCTGTCTAAGCCTTTGCCATCAATTGCCATAACGAGCGCTGAGTCGCGAATAATTTTCTCGCACATTTTTTGTCTTAAAATTCAGTTATTCAAAAGTAATATTATTCTTTTGTTTAAAAAGCTTTGCCGATGTGCTGTAAAATAGTGAGGGCAATCCTTGCATCGCTGAAAAATGAAGTCAGAACAATGGAAAACTGTGCTAGATCTGCGTTCACTTCTACATTTAACGAGCAAGTAACTAAAATATAGCGGATAAAACGCTGGCTTTTACATGTTGAGGGAGATATGCCGACTGCTGTTTTAAGTTACCTAATTGCAAAGCTAAGGGGACTTATTCCAAGAGGCCAAAACAGGTTACATTTAATTTGCAATGATAGCGAAGCTATTTTGAGACAGGTTACATAGAACTTACTTTCGCCCAAATTTCAGTTTTCTTCCTCCTACCCGTGTTCTCGCCACCGCTCCCATGAGTCCACGGAGCGGTGTATCCGTTAACTTCTGTAGTTGTCCAAAGAATAATCAAGGCACACAAGAGCACTGGAAAGATCTTGATTTCCATTCTCGTAGCCGACTTTATTATTTCTCTTTCAACAGTAGGAACTCTTTTTTAGAATGGGTGGTTTTCCACTCGACGGGAAATTGGTTTTAGTTGTCACTTACGCAAGGGGATATCTTTACTGAGACGTTACATAAACTGGCTATTTGTTTTGTTTGCTTAAGGATTTATTGGTTTTATGAAGTTTGCTAATCCTTTTGACTAATAAAACTCTTTCGAAACTGATGAGGACAGTTTAACCAAGAGTTCATCCTTATCGATTCTTTCCGGTTTTGCATTCTGTATTATAGAAAATTATTTTACGATGTCTAAGACCAAGATTATTTCATTTATCAGTTTGACGCAGTTAGTTTCTACAGATGTTTTACCTGCTAAAGAAGATTCATTATTGTTTGTTTTATATGGCTTAGGTTAAGCAGGTGTCCGTGTTGGTTATTTGAACAACAAATTAAGCGAGCTCCAAAAAACATTAGCGTTATGAAAGTGTATTTTAAGTTTAACCGGCCTTAGTTATCTAGATCTGCCTTCGGGTGGAAATACCTCAGTTACATGCCGTGAACGTCTAAAGTGCCGCAGTGTATTAAAGTTTCACAAGGACTTAATTTATCTGCCCTGTCAAACCTAGAACGTACTGTAATATCATTTGTCTGAAAAAAAACAGGAAATTACGCATCCTGACAGTTAAATTCAGTGTAAATAATTTGTATAATTAAAAGACGCGAGAGTCGGTATTTTTACACTGTGTGTTTCCTCACCTGCTCAATCGTGTTATTTCATCTGTTACAAAAATTGTTTTTATTTGTCAACGCGAAAAAAGTGTTCCGTTTGCTTGAAATTTCATTACTGTTGGCGCATGGTTGGCTACTTAATGGAAAATATGACCTTTTATTTGCTTTCACGTTAGAGTTTGAAAGCTACGCGAAAGTAAGCAGATTTATTTGAGCATGAATGAGTGGGTGTCAGTTTCATGTTTTCATTATTTGAAGAGGAAATGAATTTGACCTCTGCGGAAAATAGACCTCAGGCAATCTGAAACAAAAATGAATGTGCGCCATGATCAAAACCACCGTTGTGCTTGGAAAGAACACACGTTTCATGTGTTAGGGGCAATTTTGAACTACTAAGGATGGAACCTCAAACGTTTCTTTTGTATTCCGGCTTACCGAAAACCAGCTACCACTACTACCATTTAAGAGTTGCAGATGAAAATAGAAAAGTAAATTTGTGCAACTTGTGTCATGATTTTCCTTATTTAAATCATTGCAACTCCATCGCTTCTTTGGAAATCCTTGCGAATTCTATCCCGACAGATAATCGTGAGTTACTCGGGGTTATTTTTCTTCTCAGTCCAGTTATTCTGCCATTTGATAGAGACAATATTCCGTTTCAATTGGCTTCTCAACCAAAACGTTTCCAATTTGTTCTCAGAGCCGACGACAAAACCTCTTCTCATAGGTGAAGGTGAATTATTTATTTTATCCTTGGATAAATCATCCTTGGATTCCAGACCTGATTTATGGATAGTTTCACACCTGCTTATCTCAAAGGGAACTTTAAAGCGAATTGAATGCTCGAAGAGTCCCACTGACACATCATTTCATGATTTTCTCTGACAGGGCATGCCATGATTGGCATACAAGGTCGTATATCACAGCCTGTATTTTGCTCTACCGCTCACAATTCAGCACTAAAACACATGACGATTAGAAATAATTGCCGATTTCCCGAAACCTTCTGAATCTGGCTCGCTAATAATCACCCCCAAACTATCTGCATTCATGCGGACACTAATTTCGGCGAATTAATCCGAAGAATGATCGACAATTTTATGACGACACGACCAATCCTGGCAAATTGTACGTAAATGAGGTGTAAAAGATTAATCAAGATTTAGAAGCAGCTGAGTTATGGATCATGAAATAAGGTTGATTGACAAATCAGTTAGGTTAACATCATAATCTTATCTTGTCTTCAGATATCTATGTTTTGCAGGTGATGATAATTATGAATTTTTCAAGCGGTTCTGAAGTGAATCATACGTATCAAATCAGTCTAGAGATATTTTCTATCGATTGCTGTAATACCGTTACACCAAGAGAATATCAACAGTTGATATTCTATTGGTTACTTTAAAGCATGTTGGTTTATTTCTTCCACATCCATGGAAGCCAATTTTTTTTTTTTTTTTTTTAACCTACATCGACGCGTACTGACTAATCGTTCCAATTATACCCTGAGTTTCATGATGCACCTTTACACGTGTTACGGAAACAAATCCTTCCACCGGGAGCCTCGTTAACCTTGATTATCGTTTGGATGCATTTTTTAATCCATGTATTTCATCACTGGAAGCAAAGTTTTACTCAAGCTTTTCCTTTTATCTCTTCACCTATCCAAAGATCTGATCAGCACCTCCTCCTTAGTGAAACAATTTTGTGGTGTATCAAGATAAGTCTTCCGAGCTGATAAGTTCGCACTATTCGGCAATGAAATTTCCAGAGGTAAATTTTTAGTCTTCGTTTTTTCCCAAAAGCAAATGCTACGCTCTAACCGCAAAAGATTGACAGTTACCTCAACTCCATCTTGCCTTCATGAAACCTGTTGTCAACTTTCTAAGGAAGCCCACCTCTCAAGAAAACATTTGCAGGCAATCGGGGTGTAAAATTTGACAGACCGAAAATTTTACGTTTGCTTTTTAGTAAAAGTTCCATAAAAAAGGCAATTCAATTCTAGAGTCGAATTTTGGACCTGGCCTTTCAGCGGTGGCAAGTACAGTGCACTTGCGTGCGAGTTTCCAGTTGAGTGGTCTCATAAAGTCATGCGGTCTGCCGCTGAGGCAATAGGAGGTTCATAATTGTACATGTGCACTAATCTTTCCAAAGCTTCCGCCAGATCGAAATCAGCGGAACTAAGCCGCTGTGTTTTTCCTCGAACTCTAAGCAGGACATCTTCATTTCAGACCAGCTCATCTAGCCTCTGAATTAAGGAAGTAAGTTTCTAAAGAAACTGTGGTGCTGCGTCGGTGGGAGGATTATCAAGTCAGTTGATTGCCAACGAGCCAGCCGAGCGAAGACGCTCGGCTGGCGAGGCGGCAGAGAATAGTGCCGCGCGAAGAATGGTGTATGCGAAAAAATTCTCGATCGGCATTGAAAAGTGTAAGTGTAAGGTGTAAGGTGTAAGATGTAAGAATGTCTCAGTTTAAGCCAATTGCAAGGAAGGAACTATTCAAGCCAATGAAAAGACGTGTTACATTGTAAATGAAAAATTCAGTGTTGTTTTTTTATGCTCTTTCAAAGCAACAGTTATACAATACAACACGATTCATATTCTTTGTTATGTTATTCTTTATAATGTTACATTAATAACAAGAACTATTCACATCCTTTCACATGTTCAAGTTATTAAATGACTTGGTTAATATTACCAAGCCCTTAAAACCTTAGTACAGTTTCCATGTTACTCTTATTAAAAACCCTTTTATCAATTGGAAAAAACTATGCCTCAGCATAAACCCCCTTATCAAACCACAAATTGATCGCTCGTTGGCACTCTATCGATAGGTATATCTAGTAATAGTTAATTACCTGGTTAGCCTCTGAATTAATAGTCTCGTGTTTCTCGGCTAAGGATAACCAAGTGTTTTCAATTCAGGGACTTACACTCAGAATGACTCGCGACGCCTTAAGTCAGAAAACTTTGGTTTTTGGACGCGGAGCAACTTTTACCACAAGTAAAAATGAACTGATGAAATACAATTTAAGATTAGTTGGCAGATTTTTTGTTAACTGGAAATATTTCCACACGGGGCATTTGTAAGATCAGAGGAAAGATTTTTCACGAAAACTTCTCTAGTATCATAGCTACCAAAACTAATTCAGGAGCAGCAATTGACACTGGGGAAACAGATAAATTAACGAGATAAGTTACTATCCAATCATATTAGTCCAATGACGTCAACAGCAAACACACCTTTGCACGAGGAACAACAAAATGCAAGGTAACGATTAAAGGGTGAATGAACCAGGTTGATGAGCAGGGGCATGATTGTTAGGCTCATCGATGCAGCAAAAGAATTAATTCGTTAATGCAGCGAATTACAGGTTAGAAAGATCAAAACGGGTCTTGATCAAATGTCACATTTGGTGAAAACTATTACAACCTTAATATGATGTAAATGAGAGTTAACATGGGGAGAGGATGTAAACCAATTAAGCTATTCGTAAAGCCTCAGATCTGTGTGGCTGATACAATTATTTCTTTTTGTCAGCTGCTTTTCCGGCACAAGTGAGAGCAGTGGACATGATATATGCATGGTTGACTTCAATTTGGTGGCTTTGTGCTGGTAAGTGCTTAGGGGGTAAATTGACTGTTCACAGCTGTTACTGTTTTATGATAGACTGTTCGCGAAAGAGGGTGATACTTGAACTCGACTCTGGAATCGTAGTCATTGTTATACCTACTGAGATGTGAAGAAACCGCTAAGGAGACGCTTTTATAGTAGTTAAAGGAAAAGCGACTATAACAATTATTATCGGGAAGATTTTCCGACAAACAGCGTATTAATTCAAATGGCGTGGCTTAGAAAAACGAATGTGAGAAAACAACTTTGATTTGAGATTGTTTGTGTCATCTAGTTGAAACTTCAAAGACTGATAGAGAAGCCTTTGAGGCAAAAAAAGGTTTTTCCGAGTTGAAGATCCATTGTTTAAGTGATATATTTTTTTGCCGCTATTTTAACATGCACTATCAGTGTTGAGCAAGGCAGCTTACTGTTGTTTGTTTAGTTGTAAGATCTTTTACATTTAGTTTTTTTTGGAATACGAGCAGTCTGAAAAAAGTGCTTTTCTTGAGGACTTTTCGTATATAAAAACATTCCATAATTGAAGTCTCAAGTTGTTTTGAGGGGTAAATTGGTTTGCCGGCATCTGTCCGAGTGTAATTTCGTTTTAAGTGCCTTCAATCCACGATCTGTCAACAGCTTACAAATCATGTTATATGGAATCGATTGATTCAACAGCAAGGCAGTCTGTTTGTAACATCAACAGCAAAGAGTAACTCTGCACTATCCCCTTTTTTTAATTTTTGTACCATTAAGCACGATTGAAAGGTATTTACCGTCTCAAGCGAGGTCAGAAAAATTCACCCTCAGAGGGTCTTGCTGAATGATAACAAAAGCGTAAAGGTCATATCTTAAATCTACCAGTGTGAACTCTCGAATTATCTGTATTACACAGACGCGTCATTAAGTGACTTAGAGTTTAACTTCTTCGAGGTGACTCGTGCATATTTTGAAAAGGGATTGTTTTGAACACTGAGCTTGAGGCTATATATATTTTATTTCTCCTCCAATTTCTCTTTTGCATATTAATACTGATATGTCGACCTTCAGAGAGAGGGCATTAGTCAGCATGGAAAGGTTGATGTTGAGTTCTTTAACCTGATATTTCGATAATTTTTAATCAGCAAGATACAGGCATAACTCTCATTGCTTGCACAATGTTAGATAACCACATGATGTAAACAAACTACACTGCTTTAATAATCGGTAATTATACCGATCACGGAAGAGGTTTCTCGACACAAAGTGGAAATAACATTAGCACTTCACTCCTAGAGGGAAAAAAAGTGTTTTGACGCGTGCCTCAATTGGACAACCTGTCGGTGAAATGTATCCAGAGAAAATTAGTTCAAAGGAAACTGATACAATTTGCTAACATTGACCATGGGTGAAGATTGCCAGTGGCTCTCACCTCATTTTAGCTTCCTGGTATCAATATCTGCCTCGCATGTCTTGTTTTTGAGAACTTGGATGGAAATCGAGGACTTAAAGCAAGAGCTGGTAGTAGACATTGCCACGATAAATCGATTTCATTTACTCAATGTTCGCTCTTAGAGGGACACCAGGTTGACAATGGATGAATTGATTAATTTTTCGTCTTTTTATCTTTAAGTATGAGATCACCTTCATGGTTTGCGTCTTTTTGATCACATCGTGTAGGGAACTTTTTTAGCAACCCCACAAGGAAACTTTAATGTCATATCTAGCGTGGAACAGGAACATAACAGGGTTCTTTTTACATGGTAAAGTTTGATAAGATTAGCTTTTAAGGACGTTACTTTAAAAGACGGCTATTGTGTCTTAACGTACGATAGCAATTTCAGTTAAAGCAATTACTGTTCCCTGAGCCCCTTAGCGGATTTACGAGGTACGAGAGCTGAGAGACTTGAGTGTTCTGGTCATTTTAGTATATTTGGAACATATTCACACCCGGATATTACGTTTGTCGTGAGTATTTTAAACACTTTCTAATTCTTACTGGCACTGTCTAATCTTTAGTGACAATCTTTAAATATTGCTGCTATTCTCGGCCCCCCTTAAGCGGTCAAAATTGTAAACAATTTGTGTCATTCACTGTAAAGTAAAAGTTGATAGGTTTCAATTCAACCCTTGGACAATATAGTGAAATAAAAAATTTCCTCGGGGGGGTGGGGGGGGGGGTCCAGTAGACCACTGTTGCTCATCCTTTTTTAAAAAAGCCGGTTTAAAGGCTTCATGTCTTCAAACGGGTGCCCGCCTCGAGGCCGCTCAACTGCATTAGTGATGTTTGTTTTTCCGATACAGTTCTCCTTCGTCTATGGATTTCAAACGACAAAACTTGGTGGAAAATACTGGAGAGTAGAAAGTTACAATTTTCACTACGCCATACCCTTCTTCCCTTTGCTTAGTATGCTAATAAAAGCAGCTTGTCAAACCGATATGACAAGCAAACGAGGTTCTCGGTTGCGGAACTGCAAAATCAAAAGTGACATTATTGATTTGTGGTTTTCCCCATTTCCATATTACAGGGAGGGTAAACGAATATTAGAATGGTGTGTTTTGCAGAACGGTGCAATTAAAATATCGTTGACTTGTTTATAGATTTTGCCGCACATAAAAAAGAGTAGGTGTAGAAGAAAAAAGATGTTAGCAAACTTCTACTTTAAGGATCGATATTTGCCACTAGACTAGAATTACTACTCACTAAGTGTACTAAGTGAGTGCAGAGTTCTTTCGCCTGATTTTATATTATTGATGTCCGTATTAATTCGAGCAAAGAACTTAATCCTGTTAAGTGGTCGATTGTTCTGCCATAAATATCTAATCCAAGAACGGATAGTTCGCAGGCAATTTAATCGAAAAAATTAACTCAATTTTGCACACCGTCGGCCCATTTAAGAGAACAAAAGCACGGTGAGTTGTTTCCAATAGCTTTTAATCAAATGCACGAATGTTTTTCAACAAACCGCTTTCTTTAAGCGCGATAGGGTAAATATGACTTTGTGGTTAATCTACGCGCACGCGCTTAAAAGAGGTGTGTGGGTAAGTGTCTCCAAAGAAAGAAAACTTTGTTCGTTTAAAATATTCGAAGGAACTAAGGTGAGTCTTTTAATACATAAGTACATTCGTCTCAGGTCTACTTTGCATCACAAAACGACTTATGTAAGACCTTTTAAATTACCGTTTATTTACAATAGATAACAATACCACGATGATTTTAAGAATTCAGTTACATTCTAGTAAGGTCAACTGTTTGCGAGGGACAGCTTCCGTTTATTCGAACATATTTCCCCCAGAATTTACTACAAATAACGTTTGGGGAATGGTATGTATGATTCTGTTATGATTATTTTACGTAAATGCAGAGAGAGAAGCTCGACTTGGAATTTGGCGTGAGGGAAACCAAGGTTTCATTCCGTGACTTTGACAGCGAACTCGAACAGCGAACGGCAAAAGGAGCCTTCAATTCTGCATAATCTGCTTGAGCCCTGAAGTGCAAATATTTGTATTTGCTCTGAGTAGGGGGTTTTGTCTAAATTTCCTTCGAATTGATTCTGCCAGATTTAGGTAAAAGAAAAATAGATAAAAAGTTAATTTGTTTTCTTTCCATTGCTGGGACTCTCGCTCACGGCAAGGTTGCCGGTCAGAGAGCTTCTATTGAAATATGTATCTAGGGACCTTTCTTTTCCTAGCAGCTTTTATTTTTCCATATTGAGATATTTATCATATTCAAATTATGGGAGGGTAGACTCTTTTTGAGATGATCCAAACTATTAAAAGTAAGTCCATGATAAGATAATTGTACACAATTTATTTCATCGAGGGAACATTATGATTTTTCCTTCAAGAAGGTTTTTAGTCATATTCAGTCTTCACATCCTCGTAAATACACTGTAAGACTATAAATAGAAACTACAAATGAATCCGATGAATAATAGAGAGGATGTTTATAATTTTGTCCAATTATACCGATATACATTATTAAACAGTAATGTCCACTTTCTATTTTTGCCATCATTTAGATACCCATTTTGATATGTTACTACGTTTCAACGTGCAATAATTTTTAGCGATAAAATGATATTATTTTTTGAATGAAATAATTAAGGCAATAAGATGCGTCATTTATTTATACAACCATTTCTACATCAATGTCTCGTTGTAAGATGCGGTAATTCACATTACATTCCGTCGTCTTCGATAAGATTCTTGATTCATGATTTCGTTCATACCTTAGGCAGTTCTTTATGAAATTTTTGTATGTGAAACTGTGCCAGACCAGACCGAACTGTTTCATGAATTTCTATTTCCATTCTTGAATAAATATACTAAGGCCTCATAAGTTTTTTTTTTCTCAGTGGAGCGTTGTTTCTTATTGGTATTCCAAGTCATTCACTGTCGGTGAACTATGACAAACTTCTACACAATAAATCTCTTCCGTATCATAGGTGGAACAGTAGGCTAATACATATTAAAACTGAATTAATCGTTAAAGGGGCTCGATCAAAGTTAAATCAACTCGATCCTCCTTTAGTTTTGCCAATGTCAATGTGACGCAGTAGTGCCGTTCTCTTTTCCAACCTGTAAAAAATAGGATGATTAAAATTATCATCCCTTGATTGCGGAAATAAATTGGGTTCAGTCAGCGAGCTTTAAAATTAACTGACGCTACTATACAAATTCGGGAATTCAAACTCAATCCAAGATGCGTAGCCAAGAACTTTCGTTGCAGGGTCTTGTTCATTTTGACATATTTCTTTGCAGTAAGGGTATATACAATGAAAATTGTGGCTTTATTGTGTCATATGAAATCGAATGTGTGTGTCAACTTCTTAAAAGTTCAACCGTTTAGGAGTTTTAAAGGACTTAAAAGACTATCGAAATCGACATCGCGCAGAATGCACGATGTCGAGAGAGAGAGAGAGAGAGAGCAATGATGCCAGCGAAAATCAAAATGAGAATTTTAACTCCTGATTGTTTTTCATTAGTTCTGTGAATATTGACCTCTTATTTACTGCAAAAATAAGTGTCCGGATGGTACATCTTGTAGCGCTGTACAATCAACTTTGAAAGTAAGGCTACGGATAGCATTCGCTCGTACCATTATCCTCAGTTTAACAAAAATTTGTGTATAGATTTAATTTTATGCTGATTAAATTTAAAACAAGAATGATTTCGAAAACGGTCCGGCTTAAAGCTTATCCATGTACTCATAATGGAGGTTAGTTTCAGGTGGATTTCCATCCGGGCGGCCCAGATTAATTTCCGATATTTTGTTCAAATCGAACATGGCAACTGCCTTTGTTCGTTTTACTCGAGTTCTCATCTTCAAAGAGCAAAATAAGGCCTTCAATCCACTTCGATAATTTGTGCTAAAACCAAAGATGACGTACGGGTTGATGGCGTTATTCGCGTGAGCGAAGATGACGATGAACCTAACCATGGTTCTTGCAACACATGACGGGTTAAGATCCCAGTAGAAGAGAATCAGGTAGATGGAAATATTGAATGGAAGCCAGGACAAAGCGAAAACAACAACAACAGCAATGACAGTTCTGAGAACATTCCTAGTGCGCCTGTTCCAAGAGTTCTTCTGGATGCTTGAATGATTAATTACCTGCACTTTGCGCTGTCGTAATTTAGAAATGACGAGAGAATATAGAATAATCATCGTTACCATAGGGAGAATGAATAAAAAAAAAGACAACACAAGGAAATATTCCTTGCTAGCATTATCCTGTTCATAAAACGGTCCCCAGCTGTAGATACAAAACGTCTTATTTTTATGAGAGGATAGGCGCCAGGCATATACGTAAGGTGCGTGGAATCCAAACCCCACAACCCAAGTAAGGACAATGAAGATCTTCCTTATCGAAGGCGTGACAATATTGGTTCTCAAAGGGAACATGATCGATCGAAATCTATCAAAAGCTATTACGACTAAACTTTCAATGGAAACAGCAGTGGACACGTCTTGGACGATGTGTGTCATCCTGCAAAGTACTTCTCCAAGGAATCCATTGATATGCCATTCAAACGGGGTGGAGAGTGTTTCTGTTATCCTGCGAGGTACGACTGTTATGGCAAACAGAATGTCGGAGCACGCCATGTTGAGAATAAAGAAGTCTACTGTAGTGCGCAAGTTCTTCTCCCTGTAACAAACTATCGCGATGAGAGAGTTTCCAACGAAGCTGAAAACGAGTATAGCAGCATATGCCAAACTTTGGCCAAGCTTAGCCTCGTTATCCAAATGAAAAGAGTCCGAGTCGCATTTCTCGTTAGATGAATTAAAAGGGGACGAAATATTTTGATCGATATCCATCTTGGTTCGTTACAAACACCGTGCACGAACGTCTTACTTCACAAAACACGTTGCTGATCGACAATTTCCCGGGTGGTCGAATCCTGCTGAATTTATATTGAGCGGTGAAAATGTTTGATCAAATAGCAATTAGTTTTTCTACTAATCGCCGTACACTTTTTTTATCTGGTTGCCTTGATTATTTCAGTTTCGAAGGAAATTGGAGAAATCTTGCTCACGGATAGGGGAAAACTTCTGCCACTTTTTGCCACTGCTACAATAGATCTTAATATTAACAGGTTGAAAGCAACACTTTTTTAAATGTGAATTTCATTTTAAAAGAAGATCAATATCTATAAGCAAACAATAGTGCCTTACAAATTTAAATGAGGAAATATGGGTAAATACAGATGACAGATAAGTGTGACTCAATAAACATAATTTATTTTCTGCAATTTAAAGTTCTTTTTATTTCTATAATTCAAGAAATCACCAGATGCAGTGCATTATGTCTCCCATGAATCAGAACAAAGTCCAAAATGCGTTTTAACTTTATTTCATTCATCCCAGTTACAAATGAAAAAGTCTTGATCATGATTTATAACGGTATAAAACGCATCATTAGACGGGTGGGAAGTCGTTTGATTCTACTCACTTTAAAACGAAAAAAAAAATGTGATAGGATCTCTAACTCGAGAATTACCATCACTCGAGTATTGTATGAAGGTTCAATCGATGAAAGTGAAACAAAATGTTTTACTCGTACTCAGAATTTAGGAAAAGTGTTCCTTTTTATGGGTCGAGTTGAGTTGTCGATCAAAGTCAACTAACAAACCTCACATGAAAAGGTAATGTTTCGACAGTGTTACTTGAAAAGTAGCTGAGCAAGCCACGAATCGAAGACGCGATAAGAGCATACTGACCAAAAATCATAGAACAAACGAGTGCTACTTGTAAAAAGACTCATTTCGCGTTTTTTACATTATCTGAATTACAAAATGTTGTGAACACTGACCAACTAAATCATACAACAAAAGACAACTACTCGTAACAGTAATAATTTCGTAATTTTACATTACTCGGATACAGAAAGGATGAAAACAGTGCTACGAATCAGATGTCAACAGGATACCAACAAAGTCAAACAAAAAAAGTAATGACGGTCTCTTGGAAATTACTTAACCACCCCAATACGAATATGACCTTATTTTGCGACGACGAGGAAATTCTACTCAAAATTTTAAGAGACTATACCTTGGAAAAATAGATATTTTTTTCTTTTATCACTTCTTATTATTTCCAGGGTTATCGAAAAAAAATTGAAGGCTTTGAATAATGATACAAATATTGCGGCTGCTTTTATAGTTTATTTGAAACCTTATTTTTTTACTTTTTACTCCTCTCACTTTAAGGAAAGGAATTGGGGCGAATGGTGTTGATGTGAAACAATGATAAGTGCCAAGTTATTTTAGTTAAAGAGTTAATTTTTCATAGTTTTCATTCTGAAATGCACGGGAACGGTATTGGTTTTCGAGTGATTTTTCCAAAGAAATTCACCCATTAGCCAATACTGATTTGCACCACTACCCGTACTGCTGAAGTGTTATGGAGTCCAAGCAGATTGGGCAGTTTATTTCGAAACTAATTCACTTTTCATAAAATACAAAGACCTTTCCATCGTTCGTTTAACAAAAAATGGTAAGGAAAATTCGTTCCTGATTTTTCTATTCCGTCACGTATTTATCTGCCGTTATTTTGTTTTTATTTGCTCATCTACACTTACAAGATTATCAATTCTAGATCTGCGTTGCTTTATGCCAATAAGTCAGTGTTGGAGTTATCCTTAGAATTCAAATGCTTTTCGATATCCCAAGAGACGATTTGAGCAATGAATCCGAAGGTAACGAAGTAAAAGCGATATTTTGGGCCCCAGGTGCTTTCTCGCATGAGACTCTCTTATCTCTTATCTGTGTTTACCTAGTTTTGGTGTGCTTAAGATAAGAAAAAAAATTGATCCCAAAAACTTGTAATTTAAAATCTTCACTTTACTGATATGCAATTAAACCTCTATAAAAATTTTTTTTAACGCCTTTGTACGAAAAGTGAAAATGACAGCAAAAAGAGTAACGAGGCTTGCATCCAAACGCAATTATTTATTTTGACCAACAATCAACATAGGATCGGTACGCAAAAAACATTGTCTTTGTTCGATGACATAAAAGTTATTATTTTTATCATTAAAAAGCATCAGCATTCTTAGAAAATTCAAAAGTGGATGTGGACGTAAGGTAAACTTACGTATTCGGACTTCTTGTTAAATGGTGCTTTTCTTACAACGACCGTACACTATTAGGAGCTTTTGAGCCATCTTTGATCTTGTTTCCCTTCACTCTGACTGAGGACTGACGTTCAAAAGGTACGATTTAAAAAAAGTATTTTCGATGTCCATTGTTATATTGTTGTTTCTTCAGCGACGCAATACCACAGTTTCTATGGAAACTTTCTCCTTTACTATTTTGTTTCCTTCGTTTTTCTTTGTTTTGGTTTTTGTTGTTAAAACGTGACGATTTTAATTTCTCATAGTCCAAGATCAAGGAGAAATGGCTATCAAGAGATAGATGTAATGTTTCTATTACATAAAACAAAACCTTTGTTTCCAAAAATTATTCAAAATCGTAAAAATGGAACAGCTATGCGCTTTCAAATCTCCATGTTGACCCTTATTTGTAGTCGCTTAACACATTTTATTGAAATTTATCGATAACTGCACTGTTTGGACAGGAAAATATGTCAATAAACACAATAGTGAGACGCTACAAATTAAAGCTTTGATGTGTCTGCCCTCCCTTTGAATGAGGTATCGATAGCATTCTCTATCTAACTTTTCAAAACGCCAATTTTCATTTGAATAGAACTTTTCCTCAAGCAAACGACGGTTTGTGAACGTCAAGAAGAGTGACGAATTCTTGCAAAGTTTCTACAAGTAAGACTTATCATCAATAACCATCGCACTCGCGAAAGACATTTTTAATTTGACGATTGTAATAAGCTGTCCTCGAACAACTTCCAACGTTGTAGCATCAGTATTGACTAAAAGCGATATGGTACTGACGGACAGTCAGGGAAGATAAGAAATATGGAAGTAATGCTCTCAAGGCATCTCTGTGACCTTAAATGCTGTAGAATTGCTTTTTCGAAATAGCCGGTTATTTTCAGTGTTTCGTTTATTTTACTAATGCAACAATAGTTCCTTTATTGCTGTGAAATTAATTGTTTAAATCAATTACAAAGCGAAAGTTCCGGATAGGAGGAAACAGTTTTTGGCAGAAAGGAAGATCAATCGTTCACATTTGAGATAACATTGAATTACTGTAAAAGAAAAACCTCTTAGCATTCCTCGAAATTTTGTGAGCGCATCAATTAGGTCACAAAGTGTCATTCAGTCTTTCCAAGTTTGTTTATTGCTCAAAGTTTCCGAATTTTCTATTTGAGTTACTCAGCATAGATGTCAAGTTTTGATCCTCTGAGTTATGCAAAGTTTAACAAATTATTGTTCAACACGTTTATTTGATGTTAATTTCACCAGTTCCTTTATTAGCTCCCAAGTGAACGAAACCAAACTTTGGCCAGCATATGGTCTTGAAAAAAAAAACCAATTCACTGTGTTTACGGGGATCGCGCAGCGAATGTATGGCTTTTCACGTCGTTACTACATTTGTGTCGGCTGATTGCGTCGGATGATGAATAACTACAGATTGCGAATTTTAATTACTTTCAGTTGGCTAATGAAAAGTGCTATTTTTATCTTTGGCAGAAAACCCAAGCATTTAAGAGGAATCGCTGTTAGTAATATTAGCAGCTTTGGGATTGGTGAGGCTTCTGTTCCTCTCTGTCAAGAACTTCTGATATTCCTCTTCGAGAATCTCCAGAATAAAAGGCTATTTGTAACCAAAGATGTCTGCCAATGACACCACGAGTAACGTGTCGAATGCTTGTGGTTTACCTGAACACTCGTCAACTGACATAACATGGAAAACATTTGCCTATTGTTTCATTGCATTCGGTTCTCTGTGCGGAAACTCCGTTGTTATTTTTGTCATTTTCAAGAACCGCAACATGCGATCGACCATAAATTACTTCATAGTAAACATGTCAGCATCTGATATCCTTTTCGCCATTTTTGTGATTCCTCGCCTCATATTACAGCTAGATATGCCTGGCAGATGGCTCATCGGCGGGATGGTGGGCTCAATGCTCTGCAAGATCGACCACTTCATTCAAGATGTGTCGACAGCCGTATCCATTCTCAGCTTGGTAGCCATCGCTGTTGACCGATTTTATGGCGTGGTGTTCCCAATGAAAGCCGGTCTCATGAGTGGAAAACGAGTTCGAAGGCTTTCCTTAGCAGCAACTTGGTGTTTGGGAGCATTGCTCCACCTACCCTACTTTTACGCTTACAAACTCGTCGACGATAAGTTTTGCAGCTACAATTGGTATCCATTAGTTGATCATGCTAAAGCGTCTAAGTTCTACTTTTTATTTCTATCAACCATATTCTTCTTCTTTCCTGCGGCCATTTTGATAATTGTATACAGTATAATTATCAACACACTACGACGACAAAAGTTCCCAGGCAACCAGTCTCTCAAAGACAAGAAAAGGGTCGCTAGACGCAACCGCAGCGTTTTAAAGATGGTTGTGGTAGTTGTAGTCGTCTTCATCTGTTGCTGGCTGCCTGTCAACGTATCAGTTTACATCCTTATCTTTCACTGGGGTCCCAACAATGCTCCTTGCTATGAACGCTTATTATTTTTTTGGGTTATTTTCATCGCTTATTCAAATGGCTGCATAAGTCCCTTCCTGTATTTTATTTTCAATCAAAATTTTCGTCAAGGCTTGAAAAAAGCCTTTCTAGGGCAAAATAATCGTGATTCTGTTCGAAGAAATCAGCGTTCCTCTCACCGTAAAACGGATGATATAAGCCTAACAGCTTCGCAGAGGTAGAAGAAATATTAAACCCTTCTTTCAGCAACTAAACTTAAATCATAAGCACGTTATGGAGCATTTTTCCAGTAACAGAATGCCAACATAGATCATAATAGAAAGGTAAAAATGACGAAAAGAAGGCAATTACCTTTATCCATGGTTTATAAATATGCTTTGCCCCCAGTTAAGGCTCTGGCGGCTTTTAAAAAGAAAATAGGATCTTTTTCTTTCGAAAAAAGTAGTTGATACGTGTATAGTAAATTTACTGAATTCAGATGATGAGTATATGCAGAGGGAGGTTTTTCAACCTAAAAGATCGAAATATTGAGTTTTCTGTGACAGAATGTGATCATGAAAGCATCATTTCTTTTCTGTGCTATTGGCTTTAAAAAGTAAAGATGCAAAATCCCAGTAAAAAAAAAGTAGAATTTTTCAGTGAAGTTTGGGTGTACTCTCACCTTAACTGCTGGAATTTGCGCGATAACTCTTATTTTCCATACAGCTTTGTTCACGTGATGTCTGCTCTTCATGATGAAAATAATCGATATTTACACAGTTTAATAAAGCTCCCGGGAATCCAATATCGCGTTACACCACGATAGATATAATTTTTTAAATGTTGAATTTCTTTTTAATCATTGGTTAAAGTCGTTCCATAGCAAATTTGAGGTTAATCATTTTGCATTGTTTTAGATATTTCAGACGTAAAGCTGTATTATTATGGGGTTTAGTAACAAGCAAATAAATTTTTATCCCAAGCTGCTAAATCTGTTATCGATTTTTATCCTGGGTGCTAGTCCAACCTCTTCTTTTATTAAAATATAGTCACTATCTCCACGTAAAGATTCAATTCCAAGTTGCCTTTTATCAACAGTTTCCGCAGCCGGCACAATTCCGGTAGGTTCGAACGTGTTGAATATACGAATCGTGAATAATAAAGGCGGTTTTGAATAAAAGAGGCGTCGTTACTAACAAATGTCTCCCCTAAATTTTACTTGAACAGGAATAAAACACCCCAGATAAATGCTTCTTTGGCCTTCTTTGGCAATTTGCGAGTTCTCATAACGCAACAACCTCCGTTTGGTCGCATTTTCTCCTCGAAAACCCGCAATTTCCCGTAACAGCAATTTTACTGACGGGTTTCGATCGTTCTTTGAACTGACCCTGCAGCGCTTGCGATGCGCTTATCGTGTCTTCCAATCTCTTTAAGACTTTTTCTTTAGATCAAATAACAACACTCGTTTGGTCGAATTTTCAAACCGAAAAGCCGAAAAACCGAGAGACTACTGTAAATATTCTGGCGAAAAATCGACATTCAAAACACTTTGTTTTTAGGAAATATGATGCTTTTATTGCACTGGATCCAGCTGGTCTAAACGTCATTTTTGATGAACGATAATTACATCATAAAGGTAGGATATAAAGAATTGTTATGTAATTAACGATTCGTGATGTGAGCCTACTACAGCTGTATTACCTAGCAAAAGAATCTTGGAGCTTACTATGGAGTGAAAACTTTAACTTGAAAAATGGAAGATTTTAATTTACTTATTAGCAGTCCAAATAGGACCTTAGCTTTTACAACGCTGACTACTAGGGAAAATTTATATATGGACACAGAAATGTACTTAGAAGAGATATTAGGCTTTGATTAACAAAAGAAACAATTGAATGACTGATATTCTGCTTTCACGGGATGGATATCTCTCGGCTGAATTTGGTATGCAACACTCGTATATTGGTTTACGCGAGGTATAATATTTATATATGTGGGAATGCCACAAGCTGACATTCAAATTTGGCAACAATTAAAATGTTACCTGTCTTCTGCGGAAAGGAAAGTTTTCAGGAAGTAACTATTTATCGTTGTTTTCAAGGTTTTGTTTGTGCTAAGCGAAGAGTGCTGACTAATTGGAAAACATCTCTCTTTTGAAAAACAGGAAAAATTTTTTTTTTTTCGAGAACACAAGGAGTAGACGTACGCTTGGGTGTAAAAATTTGAATAATTGTTATCCATGAAAGGGAAGTGAGGGAGAGAGAGAGGAAAGAGAGAGAAAGAAAGAGAGAACTGCAAATGTGCGAAAGTAACGCGGGTCATTCACTATTCCTCAGGAAGGATTTTTTTTTTCCCTAATCCATGGAACAACTGTTTTTTTTTCTTCTAACATACGGTTGTTAAAATAATACTATTCTATTTGGGAACACACTCGCGAACTAATGGCTAGCCGCTATGTTTATTCTTGATGGACAGGATGGTGAACGTGTGGGCAGAACACGCTAACTTGCGTCACTCGTGCTAAAAATATTTTAGGACCAGACTATTTCGGGAGCACCACGTAACCTCTTATTCTTCTTAGATAGGATGTGTTGATCAATCTAAACGAGGACTTATTTTAGCACAGTGAACAGTCATTCAAGAGAAGATATCTTATCTCGCATTATGCTCCGGAAAAGTGCCTCTTTAAAATTCAACTAATTCCATTCCGAACATCATGACAGCAATGTTTTAGCTTTAATTGACACATCATTCCCTACGAATTAAGTATTTATACAGGAATGAACATTTTTTTTTCGAAAAAACAAACAGTTCTTTTCATTGGTGCTGATTATTTCTACTTAAACGTTCAGGTTGGCCACAACCCATGCGCAGAGCAGTATCACAAATTCGGCGTTTGGTTTTGGCAAAGACATCCTCTGGAAGGCCCTATATAAAAAAAATAGGAATAAAAAAGGTAGAAGATTGGAAAATAAAACCAATATTCGACGAAAAAACAGTTCCAGAGAGGCTTTTTAATTTGGGGGAACAAAGCACCGAAATTGCACTCTTACTCGAATAAAGAATTTATTAAAGGTGAGTGATCACGGAAGGCGGAAAATATCGACCATTAAAACAAAAGTAGAAACGGATGCTTCTATTGGTAAATCTTGAAGATTTTGCTCTGTTTCCCAACAAGAATACTGGAGGGGAAAAAAATTTACGTAACCTAAAAATTGCACTTTTATCAGTCTTTAGTTTAAATATCCTAGAACAACAGCGATTGACAATGAGAGACAGATCGCCTAAAACGTGGATAGTATTATGGATATGTACCTTATCGTCCTTCATTAGCCCCGTTTTCCAGCACAGTTTAGACTGATTGCCTTTACAAGCCTGACCTGGTCCATTGGCGATGGCCTCAGATTTTTTTGGGAAAATTTCCAGGATAAGAAGAAGAAATAGAATCGACAGAATCAATTTGGCTGTCATTACTACAGCTGGAGACCCAACAACTCAAAATTAATAGCTCAAACTGTTCGAGCATCCCATTGCTCCTGCTTTTATATAGATGGCAGCCGCAACCATTGGTCGAACTAAAAGTACGTAATAATATTTAAAAAATACATATTATGAGAGGGTTGTCCAGCTGGCACATAACCAATAAAAGAACCACGTCTCCAAACACGCTAACCTACTATCAAAAGCAACAGTTTCCGGAGACAATTAATTAAATTCGACACCCAGTCCACAGAACCAAACAAGTAAAAGTTATGCAAAGTCTCCATTGTCTTCGTCTCTTCTATTGAAGCCTTATTATCATCGCTAAATACGTTGCGTGGCCTCCTTTAAATTAGTTCCAATGCAATATATTTTGGCCAATTACTACATAATTGATACAAAGCAGATAAAGCAGTGGAAATTCTGCTGATTCTGTTAGTAGTAATTTAACTTAGCATGCCACCGCTTGATCCGCCAGCAACACGAAAGGAAGGCAGCACAAAATTAATCACCATAAAAAAATTATTGCAAAAGCTTCGATTTAAAAAGAAAGCAACGACCATGGCCTGCTTTTGACGTAAAGCAATGAACAATGGCCTTATGTGGTGCATAATTTCAGAGGCAAATGTAACTTGATATGAAGATTATATTTTTACGAGTAAAGCAAGCGTGTAGTCATCTCACACAACTGCACCTGTTACCCACAAAGTGAGACCTTTAGGATCGACGAGTGCTCTGAAAATTAGTGAACAGGTGAATATGTGTGCTGGCATATTTGTGTATAGCACGTTCTAACTGATATAAATTGGTGCGTGGTAAAGCTCGTACATGTACTAAGAAAATTTGCTTTTAAGGGCACAATTTTGTAAATTTGCTCTTCAAAGAACTCTTTCGCGAAACATAAATAATGTGTCATTCAATCAAGCTGCAGACATTTGTCTTCTGTTGCAAAGTAATTACGAAAGTCACGTAGGGTAAAAAAATAATCAGAATTTTTAATGTCACGACTATTACAATTATCACAGTAAGAAAAAGGTAAACTCTAAAGAGTCTAGTACAATTACACACATTTATTATCATTATTATTATTATTATTATTATTATTATTAATGTTTTCTCAAGCTTTTTACACGCAAACTCACTTATTGAAGTTTCGTTATGAATGTTCACACTGTGGCGTGCTGTTGTCCGAGTCAGTACAGGTATGAAAATAACTATAAAGGGAACAAAACTGCTTACACAGTTGTATTTAGATTTCTTATCACGGTGTTTTGAAACACCTGATTTTGCAACCCTAAGCATTTCGGACATACGTGACTCTCGCACTTTTTCAGTAGGATCCAAATTCGATTTCTCAACTTTGAACATTCAGGAAACAAAAGAAAAAAATGACTTGATTATACATGCTCTAAGGTAATTTGTACAGCTGAAATAAATAAAAACTACAACTTTTTTCTTGTACAATCGAAGTTGCCTGGTCAAAAATAGACAAGGAAATAAATGAGAAGACGTCGAAGAAGAAGAAGAAGCAGAAGCAAGAAATCTCTCATTTTACCTCCGGGGACTGAAAATGATTAAAGTTCCGCTCACAATTTTACCTGTTGCATAAGACAGAGTGTTTTTGCTTTGTTAAATTACCCTAAATCATTAAAATGCAAATGTGCGTGAAATTGTTACATTAGCGAGCCGACCTTAAGTGAAAAATTAGCCTTTACGAATAAAATTCAAGTGTACGTCGACTTGAAACATTATCGAGCCGACTTAAGGGAAACATCCTGTACTTATCGACTGAGTGGGAGGGCCGGATGCGAAAATATGCACGTAGCCAAGATCACGATGTACAGACCAAACACTACACATCCTTCCGTTTCTCTCTTCCTTTTTTTCTCATCTTTGCCGCGGGGCCTTGAGCAGGGCTGTACAGTTTTTTCGGCTCTGTTTTTGCCATTGCATGTGGCCCTCTTTTCAAAAAAAAATTATATTTTCATGGAAAGCGAGATCGGGGCCGAAAGGGTCATATGATAAAAAATGTATATTTATTTTTTCAATTCAATGACATTAGATAGCTTGCTAAAAATGCACTCTCACCATCGGTCAGCAAAGCGGATCTTGACTTTTGGGTAGTGAATAGATAATTGGTGGACTTTGTCTGAAGAGCTTATAAATTGTTAAATGACCGTCATTAATAACACAGAAAGGATTAAAGATATCAGGGACAACTGCGGCAATGAGAGCGAAGTATTAACCAGGGAAATTTCAGAAAGTTTTAAAAATAATTGAGATCTCTCGAATGATTGACTCACTGTTGTTGTGTCATGCGCATTAATGACTTTTTTGTGTGTGTAGGAGGCGTACGTGTGTACTCCTCAGTAATTGCACTTTTTAATTTAACAGAAGTTTTCTATTAGCGAAGTAATTTAAGCCATGAGGGAAAAGCTAGAGCGCGTAGGATAACGCTCTTCAAATGCTCATATTTAAGGTAGGGATAGAGATCATTAAAGCAAAAGGGAAATTTTCATTTAAATGGAAAAAAACTGCCTGTTTTTTTGTTGTTGTTGTGTTTTTTAAACAAAGAGAAAACAAAGAAAAAGACGTCTGCAAGCACAACATGAAAGTTCTGGACATCAACACAGAGAACTGGGAGGATACTAAAACCAACCGCAACAGCTGACACTGCTTACTCAGAAAACAGCTGAAGAAAGGAGAGCAGAAGATCCTGGACCTAGCAGAAGAGAGGAGAGCCAGACGAGAGACACGAGCCCTCGGTGAGCTCCCCACCCCCAGCCACATCTACACCTTGTATGGCAGGGAATACCATTCCCGCATCGGACTAACCAGCCACCGACTGGTGTTCTGGATACCCCCAGGGTGCAATATCAATAGTCAACAATGGATTGTAGGAAGCCTACTAATGAGAATACTTTTTATCTAACAAAGCAAAAGGTTCATCATACAGCATCTGAATACGAAAACCATGGCAGCGAGGTGCGGAATCCGAAGGTCTGAGTTTCACTCCTCGTTGGGACTCAGAACCAATGGTTGATGCTTACAATTTACAGTGCAGATAAGGCGACAAGAGCTTATTTATTACAAAAAGAGAAATTACTTTCACTTAGTCGGACATTGTGACGTATTTTGCGGGCTAAAATGTATTTTTGTCCGTTCGCTCGCGTGATTGTTTAACCGTATTTTGGTCGTGATTTTTAGTGTTTTATTGTCTTGATGCCCCCCAAAGTCATAATAATAATAGTGTTAGTGTTCTTGGGCATAAATAGTATAGGACCTTTCTCAGAGTCATTTTTACCCCCTTCCCCTCCGCCCAAGCTGATGTCTTGGGCTAAATGACTCTGAAAAGGACTCAAAACGTATCAGTGCCCAAGTAATTAACAGTTAACTGCGCGGGAAGCTTGGAAAGAAAAGCGCTATCAATCATTTTCATGATGTGATCACTTGCAGTTGAGGCCGCTATTTTCGTTCTCGTTTCCCATTCATTTAAGTAGCTGTGTCATTCTTAACAACGACGAACGTCAGACCCTTCTCCCAAAGTCAAGTTCATTGTTTTATCATGTTGTACAGACAATTGCTTTTGTCGGTTAGCTACTTGACTTTCAAGACTTTTGCTAGATTGTATTGAGTTAATAAAAGCTATTTCTGGGTCTTTCTCTTTTCCGGTTTTCGAGGAAAGTTATAAGTGATGTAAAGCCCGAATACCCTTTGGACATTTTAACTTCAGTTATTGTTGTTGTCGTTTATTTGGACACAAATGGGAAAAGTAGCAGCAGAGCCCCAAAAATGAACATTAAAAATAAAGCGAAGTGTCTTGGTAGACATCCGTGGTGAATTTAAAATGATAGTTAAAGTGTATTTAAGGTAAACAGTGAAAAACCGGGTCGTTTGTCTGAGCATACATGTAAAGTTGATTTGACTATTAAGTGAAATTGAATTATTCTAAAAACAAATTTATAAAACATAAAATTATTGACTACCAGGAGAGATGCTTAAAATGGTTCAGTGATGGATGATTTTCTCCCAACAGCTTTCTGAAAAGCTCCAGCTCGTCTCCCGAAGAAACGAAAAAAAAAATGAATATAAAATAAAAGGAAAAGCTCAAGGCTGGTTGAACTTTAGATGGCTCTAAAAAAAAAGGGATTTTCAATGAAAATATCATGCACAAAACGTCGTTGAGCTTTTTTTCTTGCATTAATTTTTTATCATTTTTAACAGCTGTCAAACGTTATATAATGTAAACATCGCAATTAGGCTACTTTTAGTTTTCGGCTTCCTTGTCAATAAGCTATTAGCGCACCTCTCGAATTTCAGAGAGGAACTTAAACTCACCAGAAGGCACGACTTCAACTTTGGAGTTAAATTAAAATAAATTGTTGTAACCCAACGCTTTTGTTTCAAGATTTCGTTATAAAAAAATTTTTATCCGTTTTGGTAAAAAGAACAATATATCTAGACAAAAAAACTAAGCAAGCTGTCCTGTTAAAATGTGCAAAACGAGCTGAAACTTATGCGGTACCGGTGCAGTGCTCCACCAAATGGGCTAACAAGCTAACTGAGAGCTGGTCCCTGCATTTTTCCTTAAATGCAAGATATCAAGGATGGAATGGCGGATATTTCTAATTTCATCTAAAAACGAAGCGGAACAAAAAAGCACGGTTACAGGCAAATATGAAAACATCAGAGCTGCTATGATGATTATCAGGGTTGTGGCTGCCTTGTTGCTTGTACAAAGTCGTTTTGCTACTTCGTCTAGGTAACTGCTCACAGGGTAGGCGGCGCCTGTGGTTACGAGCTTGCAAGAAGATAAATATGTTGATATTTATAGTAACAGTAATGTTACACACATTAGCAGGTCAGTGGCAGTCAGCAGCGTCAAGTACATTTCTGACTCGCTTATACTCCAAGTTTCTTTCTCCAGAAACGAAACTAGCGATTGCTCTTTTTTCTATTGTGTTTGTTCATTGTCGGATCTGATAGCACAATTTCAGTGAGACTAGACTTTATTTTCCATTGTTAGTCTTTTTTTCAAATTGGTCTGGCAAATGAATCTTCACGATTAAGTTCTCATCACGATTTTGCTTTACTTTTACTACACTATATTATATATAATATATTATTTAATTATTATTTGCTATACTTGAAGCCTCTATCACGTTTTCCCCGACGTTTCCAAGGTCTTTTTGTAGTTTTTGTATGCTTGTTTTTAATAACTTGGATCTTTCCGTTTCTAAGTGCACCCTTTAAGTTTTTCAAGGTTTTATTTTTTTTGGCATTGTAAGCCTCGATAACGAATTTCAGTCATCGGATTCAACCATCGTTAGCTCAAAATAAAGTTCTATCGAATTATTTTTAAATGTCCACTCCCAATAATTCAGATCTGTAAGAGAAATTGGAAAATATTTGATTCATCTGTTGTTGAAAATAAATCAACTGTGCTTATGAAGGTTCTTTATGGGGCAATGGCTTTTACGGCCAACAGTTAAAATTTTGGCCATTTTAATTTACGGTTTACCGTTAACCAAAAATAGCACGTTGTAGAAAGTAAAATAATTTACGGTTGGTTTTTAATACAGCTAAAGGTTAATGAGTTAATTCTTACGCCTAACGGTTCAGTTTCTTGGCCATTGTGCGGCTACGGTAACCTCATCGAGACCTTAGCGTGCGAACATCGAGTCATGGATGCACGCTGGAAGTTTGGAGAGCACGAGAGAAGCGAAAGAGTTGCAGCAACGACAGCAACAGCGACAACAACAGCAGAAGCATCAACAAATGTGCACAGAATTGAAAAAATAGAACGGGAAAGAGTTTGAAAACGGGTAGGCGTTTTGTGTGAGCCAGCATTTTTTTTTTTGGTAAATACAGAGAAAACCAGCTTTCCAAATGTTTTTAAGCTTGTAGGATTATAACAGCCGCCCTAACTGAATGTAGCTCGTAAATATCTTTATTATACTATATAATTATTCAGGCTTCTCAGGAACACATTACATTAAATATCATTACATTAAAATCACAATCACCTGATTAAAAATGATGTAACTGTTAAAATAACCAGACATGGAAATAAGTTGTAAAAATCCAACTCTTTTTTCCTTTACATTTAATTCCTCGTGGACTTTCCTCGCCATATTTATGGACTTAATAATATCTTACCTCCAGGTGAACCATTATAACGCAACACTCTGAAAAATTAATGAAAGGGGTAAGTTTCTAGAGAAACCATGGTGTTGTGTCGTTGGAGCGGGGGGGGGGGGGAAGGGGGCGGGTAAAGGTAATACAGGATAATACATGTCATTTGTTTTTATCGACTGAGTTGACAATGTAAATTGGTCACCGTTAAGAGTTTCTGGCCAAATTACTCTTAAAAAGGAGCTGTTGAAAAGAGAGGATGCACATTGACGGCTTTCATAGTTCTCCAAATTGGGTTGCCTTTATTGCCTTGCTTCAAAAGGAAATAAGGTGTAACGATGAAACTTCCCGCTTACCAAACAGTGGAAAATACTGATTTCCTTAGTTTTGGCGCTTTCAGGAAAATAGTTTGACACATGTTCAGAGCAACAATGAAAGAAGAGAAATGAACTACGGATGTTCGTCTTGTCGAGAGGAGCATAAAATAAACGATTAATTTTTTTTTCTTCGTCGCAGTTTCGTCTCTGCAGGATGATAGCATCTTGCGTAGATCAAATCATTTAAGATGTTTTTAAAGCACCGATACAAAAAAACAAACAAACAAAAAAAAAAACCGTAGAAAGACTGCTGGTATTAATATTACCGCAGTAAAGCACCTACGAGGCTAAAATTTTGTTACAGACTCACCTACTGTTGTCCTAAAAGGAGACCGTACGTCAACTAAAGTGATTTGTTTATAATTTGGAATTTTTAATTGAACTTATTCAAACTGTATTATGCAACTATACCCGAAATTGAGAGAAGGAAACAATGCAATACACATTTTTTCGAAAGATGAGAAATTTTATCGAGGACTGAGGAAATTCGTAGAAAAAATGGCTAATTGTCATGAAAAGTATTGGCAATCAGGCTTTTATGTGTAAACTCGCAGAAACCATTAAAAATTAGCAATATATTTAGTAAAAGACGTAGTTTTTTAACAAGCTACGAGAATTTCCACTTGTTTACTTTGCTCTTATTAGTTTCTTTCACATGCCAGGATAATGCAATTATCAAAAGCTTCTTTCCGAAACTCGGCTTATGCGTTTGTTTTAACAGTACTTTCCTTAAACGTCATTTTTTTGACGTTAGCATTCAGCGAGAGCTGACAATTCATAATTTCCAAACGAGATCGATATCTCAAACTTCCAGCTGATAATCTTCGGCCAATTGCTTTTGTTGAGATGAAATTTGACCTGCAACTCAATTGCATTCGTTTTCGATTTATACATATATCAAGGAACAAAGAGATTTTAAACAACGCGGAAAACAAAAATAATTATTCCCACGAGTGAGCCGGATGTACAACATACTACATAAATGGATGATTCCAGAAAAAAAATTACAGTAATCTCATTTATAACAGCCTCATCACCACCGCAATGAGATCTACATCTTCGTTGGCACTTTTCTTAATCGTTTCTTTGCTGTTTAGCGCCTATGGCCTGCCCCTTGAAAACGAGAGCGACCAATTGCTAAAGGATTCTAGTGATCGAGTACAAAGAGCTATAGCTGAAAGGGAATCCATTTTCGAAGGTCAGGGAATAATTTATTAGAAACTGCGCTGACGATCAAAAGAAATGTTCCTTTTTTATGTTAATAATAACAACTGGAAAACAAGAAACATATTACGACTTGCATGTTCATGAATTTATCCTGTTTGGCTTTTAAAAAAAGTGAAAAAAAAATGTCCTCTTTCTTTTATAAATACCATTTACAATTTCCATAGTCTTTGGCAGTTCTTCTGTAAAGTTGCCATTCCTTTGTCAGGGCAGATGCATGGGGTAGTTTTTTTTTGGAGACGAGTTTTAACGAACCAAATGAATGAAGCCATGTAGGTTGAGAAGTTTCTAAGTTCTTGGTATTGATATAATGAAGATAGAAAGCGGATCGAGTATCGTCGAAATTGAGCTCAATTCAAGTTAGTCTTATAACGCAGAGAATTAAAAGTATACCTCACTTTCTTTGCTTTCGCTGTTCCTACTTTTGAGTTTATTTTGCATGGTCAAAACAGGATGTAAATCGAGTAAAGTGTTAGGCACTGAGCAAAAGACCAATATATATCTTAAAACCTTAATATATGTACGATTATTGTATTTGTCGAGAATTTGTGTTCCTGATGTATTAGCTGGAAAAATGTATAAAATCATTTAATGGACTTTCGAGAAGGTTCAGTCTAATCGAAGTCTTCACAAGAATTCCAATAGGTCCTTTTCAAGATTGTCATTGATAGCTTATTGTTGACTTGAGGCTTAATTTCTTCGGCTCGTCACTAAAGAATTCGCTCATTCACGCCAATTTTATTGAATCGGTAAGGTAAAACTGATTTTACATGTCACAAATTTCTATCAAAGATCCAGTTGTAAAACCAATCAAAGACCGTTCGCTTGTTCCACGGATCCCTCCATGTGCTAGATATGGTTGTGGTAAGCGAACTGTGCACATTGGTAGAGAAAGGGAACCATACAGTTTCTTGGAAACCAAGATTCGTCAATTGCAGCGTAGAAGGGAAGGTGGCATGATCCCGCCGTGCGCACGATATGGCTGTGGAAAGCGGAAATAGAACTTCTAAATGATATTAACCCAGGATATTATCTCAAAAGGTTTGTCTGTTGCATTTATTTATCACTCTGACAATAATTGAGAATAATTGCTAAAAGCTCTACTGTAAAGAGCACTCAGCCGAGTACAGGGTAAGTATTTCTAGTTAACATAATCATATTCATACATCAACTATTGAAACTAAATGGAAAAACTATCCTCACAAGGCTACCTCGCGCTTTACAAAGACGGAGGCTATCTTAGGTGGAAAATGCTGACAAATCAATATAGCTGTTATTAGAAGAAATATTTCACTTTCAACTGCGTTTTGCTTCCTTAGGCCAAAAATCCAAGAAAAACAAATACAGACAATAACTAATTACTCACTCTCTAAAATAAATTTAGTGTCCAAAAAGTGACATTACGCCGCTCATTGGTATCCGGCCACGCAAGTTACTCAGCAGAGTGTGCTTACATGCAAATCTTCCGTAATGCTGTAACTCAATCGACATTTTCATTAGGGACCAGTCATTTTTTTGTTTCCGCGAGAGATGATTTTATTCGCATGCTCTCCAGGGGAAACAGATGGAGAGATGATTCGTAACTAACAGAGTATAAGGAGGGAACTATAGAAAATTGACTGCCAATTAACTGTTAATAGGAGGGGGAGGGAGATCATCAGAATATTACAGAGCCCTATGGGGGATCAGGTAGATATCATCGTGTCACAAAATAAAATCCTCCGTCTCCTAGGGCGATAAATAATGGTCGGTCACTCAAAAGAGCGTGCCAGAAAACTGGAAGAACAAGGCCTTAACTTATAAATTTCCTCTTCTTTAAATGTAATTATTTTCTGTCTGTTTGCTGGTTATACGTATATTTTACCGATTGATCTCTAACCGTTTAAGCGCTCTTGAATTCCGCACTATTCTTTCTTGTAACCAATAAGCAACAAACAAGAAAATATTTCCAAGTTCAAATTTTTGGAGTGCTTCGAATTCTGAACTAAAAGATGCCTTTCCGCTATTTTTAGGGGAGACGAATCCAAAGTCGGCGAGCTGATAGAACTTTGCGGTCTCTAGGATATTGAACGTTTAAAATTCTAAGAAGAAATAGCGAAATACTATGTCAATTCATTAAAGTTAATAAAAATTGTATCTGATTGGTTTGTTTTGGTTTTGTTTTTGCAAGAGCACCATAACTAAACTGTTTGTCCTCAAGCCAGGGTTTATCTTCAGTAAATACATATCTTGAAATAGTTCTGTACATGAATTTAAGATAAACTTCATCTTCTGGGTTAACTTCGTTCATCAATGTACAAATCCTAATGTATAACGCTGACTCTCCCTCTCTAATCTCTGCTACAAGGCTTGTGCTCTTGACTGTACCAACTCAGTCATTATTGCGATTCAAAACTTGAGCCAACGACAACCATATTTGTCTTCTTAAGGAAATTGTGTCTTTTTTGTGCACATTCTCACCTTTTTCTTCACAAAGAGAAATGGCCTTTGGTCAATAGATCAGATAAGGTATGAAAGCGGCTTTCGCAACGATGAACACTTCTTGAACGATAGTGTAAATAAGGCTTGAGAAAACTTCAGGCTTGTACGGGAATTGAACCCATAATCTCTGTTTCAGTCTCAAGGCGTTCATACCCCCTTGTTCGATTGATTTGCGTACATGTACTTCTCGTAGCCGATAGCAGTACGCCGACTCAGGTTGCCTGACTTAATCCTCAGTTGTTGCGCAAGTTTCGGAGAAGGTAGTCTGTATTGAGCTGACCACCGATCGAGCGGATACCGCTTATCGAACAAACACCTGTCAAACATCTGTCAAACTCCTGTATTCCTTTATTAATTGCATGTTTCTACGACACCCATAATAAGCGGGCACTTTTAAAAGGTTACGGTAGCGAAACGAATAAACCTTGTCTCTAGCCAAGTATGCAATCAAGCGAACCTGATCATAGGGAGTGGTCAACGAGGTAAGTAGTTAACGCTGTAAAAAACCTAAACGTTTAGCCCAGTTTTTGTCGGCAGTAAACCTACAATAAACGAATAATAGAAATAATCAGTAATTTAGTGTTAACAACTGAGTTAAAAACGTAAATTGGCCACTGTAAAAAGTTTCAAGGCTTACGATTCAAGCGTTAGCCCTTCGTCATTCGCTCTGACGAAAGGCTTTAGGTCGAAATGTCAGCCTTTAAACCCTTTATGGTGGCCAATTTACGTTTTCAACTTAGTTGTTAACACTAAATTACCTGCTACACTCTCCCACCGACGCAGCACCACAGTTTCTTTAGAAACTTACCCGGTTCATTCACTAGAAATAATACCCTCTTTAGAAAATTTGTCTGCTATGGCCCTTTTTTATCGATCCAATATGAACCAACATAGTGACTCCGATTTGGAATTCCAAATGGATTTGGCAGTCAACCGCTTAAGACTAAGAAGTGGTTAAATGCAAAAGCTTTATGCGGATAGCACCTGTCTTTTGCTATAATCTCTCAGATCATACACATTTTTGTTTGAACACACATAAATTTTTGAGTAACAATGATCCAGGAATTCGTAGAATTCACACGGGTTTTCAAGCACATTTTTTCAAGCAAATATTGTAAAAAGTAAATTATACACTCTCGCTAACGCTAAACTCCTCGATGTATTTTCAGTCGAGTAGACGCTCTGATTTACTTGTACCGATAAAAACACGATAAAAGATATTAAAATAAGCCTTGATGATACAAAAAAATGTTTATTAAAAGTCATTCTTACGTTCCCTTATTGTGCCAAATCGTAATGGGATCAGGCATGTCTCAAATTTTCGACGTACGTGACTAACGAGGGAGTGAACCGTTTTCTATGAGCTTTCGTTTTCTGTTGTTGTTGTTGTTTTTTTATCTTTTGAAGACATTGCATTTATATTTTGAATTTGCCATCAACCACCAGACGCCCTTTCCCATGTAAGTCCGAAGGTTGTCTTAAAAGAGCAAAGTGTACTCTTCGCTGTCTTCCAAATAAAGAAATAAACGAGCTGATATCTCTATATCATACAGACACTTTCTTTTGTAATTCGGTTCGAAAGGTTTTATAGAGTCATCACTTTTGCCGAGTTTGACGACTTCTTTTTCACATATTTTAACCCATAGACTACAAAATAATTATTGAAAATAAATCATGGACTAAAAATTACATGCGATTAAATTCGTAGTGTTAAGATTTTGGTTTTTTAAATAAGTCTAAAGACTTACCCAAAGGAAATTGACGCTAAATGGCTCTTCGTCTTCTGTGTACTCCGGAAATTTACCTTTATCGAGCTGAAATACAATATTTTTTAATTGGGTCTCGGATTTTCCTTCCCTTTTTCTCATTACCGAAAAACTTAGTGGTGTTGAACATACATGAATGTCTAAAATCAAATTTACAAAACATTCCGAAGAACAAAACGCTTTTTAAAGAAAATACTTTGTCTGATAATTTAAAATATGTCTACCACAAGATGCAAATGTCAATTTTTCTCTGTCTTTTCGAGACGCAGGGACAATACAATCAATAGACATTTCCTTTGCATTTTAACTTTGATCAGCAAATGCGGGAGCTTTGATTCTTGGCATGAAAGAAACCTCTGTTTCAGCCGTCTGAAGATTCTCTGCATTAAAACCGTATTATGATCGATGTCAGTCAGTAATCTGGTAACTTCCGCCTCCCCTTCGGCGACGTTATTTGCAGCTGCATGGTGCTTTCGCACCAAGCTACCCATTGGCTCGGTTATCATCATTTTCCATGAGTAAACCACCAGAAAATGGGCGGTACATGTATAATTAATGAATGAAGTAGGTTTACTATTGCCTTCCCACCGATTTGATAGCATTAGATAGATAAAAAACCGGGAACCACTTTTAACGTCATGCTGTGGTTAAAGTAGAAGTCTTGGTTTATTTCTTAGCAATTTACGGTTTCAAAAATGTCCCAAACAGACTTCTCAAAATTTTGCAGCAGATAAATTAACGTAAAAAAAAAACCTTCCTAGAAAAAAAATATATTAATTCCGCTTTTTATTAGTTAAAGGCTCACTGCAATGACACAATCTTGAACAAATATCAAAAAGGCGTTTTAAAAATGATACATACATTTACGTCAGCGACACATATTTTACGGATACTTCACTAGATAGTTTGGACCAAAAGTAGCAAAAACATAGAAATAAATGATACCTGAGGTTCTCTTGGTGGAGTAATTTTCATAAGCGCTGAAATGGTCTCACAGCAGCATTACTTAAAACTGTTCTGCATGAGATTTTTAATGCAAAAAATAATGGTGCAGAAACTGTTTGCTATCAATTTGTTCCTGTTTACCAAAGAATTAAGGCTAAAATTACTCTTTGTAGTAAAATTTTCACCGAATGACTTAAGCTTAAAAGAAACTCAAATAAGAAAATAAGTCGCGTTTTCGATGAATAACTCAAAGCTCCTCCTTCGTCATTATTAGAATCAGAAGACGGTCCTTGCTGCCACGCGTCACTGTCTCTTACAGAACATTAATTGTCCTCCTTCTTCGATGCCAGCTATTCCCTGACACTCCCATCCCGGCATCGATCTGAGTACACAATACTGCCTCACCATGTTCACTTAATGTTTGTTCGAAAGCTTTCAGTACCATCTTGGTTTCGTGTGTCAATCCAAACATCTCAGGGAATAAGGTGTGGCCATTAAACGAGAACTGAGAAATCTTTAAACGTTTGAACGTGTCCTTTAGTAGCATGTCGTAATGATGTGGGATATTGATCAAATGAAGCCTTTTAGTGCTACTGTGGTTCTTTCTTTCTTTATTCACTCCGAGCTTTCGCCGCCGTGAGAAATCTTTCGTAGAAACCAAATGGAGATAGCAAATACTTTATAAGAAGGTTCAATTCCCCAATGTCAATCTATACGTTTATTGCCCTTGTTTGGAATCTCAGAGATTATCTCTGCGAACTTCAATGAGGGACATATATATATATATTATATGGATATGGATATAAGAAAAAACCGCAGCCTACACATATAATTTTCATCAAGAAATTTGGCTTTAGTATACAATTTACTTTTTGCAATATTTGCTTGAAAAATGTGCCTGAAAATCCGTGTAAATTCTCCGCTTCAAACTAATACTAGAGTTCCTGGGTCATTGTAACTGTGTTCAAACAAAATTTTTTTATGATCTGAGAGATTACAGCAATAAACAGATGCTATCCTCAGTAAAGTTTTGCAATTTAACATCTTCTTCGTTAAAAGCAGTTGATGTCCAAGCTTCATTAGTTGGGACTGGCCGGGTATTCCGCTAAAAATTGCAATTCCAAATCTGAGCCCTACAGTCTGCCTTAAATGCAAGATATCAACGATGGAATGGCTGAGATTTCTAATTCTAATAACAATGACCCAGGAATTCTAGTATTCATTAGAAACGTAGAATCCACATGGGTTTTCAAGCACATTTTGTAAAAAGTAAATTGTACACTCTCGCTAACGCTAAACTCCTCGATGTATTTTCAGTCGAGTAGACGCTCTGATTTGCTTGTACCGATAAAAACCCGACAAAAGATATTAAAATAAGCCTTGATGATACAAAAACATGTTTATTAAAAGTCATTCTTATGTTCCCTTGTTGTGCCAAATCGTAACGGGATCAGGAATATCTCAAATTTTCGGCGTAGGTGACTAACGAGAGAGTGAACCGTTTTCTTTGAGCTTTCATTTTTTTTTTTTTTTTTTAATCTTCTTGAAGACATTGCATTTAAATTTCGAATTTGTCATCAACTACCAGCCCTTTCCCTTCTAAGTCCGATGGTTATCTTAGAAGAGTAAGGTGCACTTTAAAAACTCCTCAAAGCATTTGCATTTAGCACCATGGTCCAAATAAAGAAATAAACGAGCTGATATCTCTATATCATACAGAAACTTTCCTTTGTAATTTGGTTCGAAAGGTTTACATAGAGTCAACACTTTTTCCGAGTTTGACGACTTCTTTTTCAAATATTTTACCCGTACACTACAAGATAATTCTTGCACATAAATCATGGACTAAAAATTATTTTCGATTAATTCCATAGTGCTAAGATTTTGGTTTTTTAAATAAATCTTAAGACTTACTCAGAGGAAATTGATGCTGTGTGGCTCTTCTTCTTCTGT